TAGAAAGGGAGAGGTCAGAGGTCAGAGTTCAGGGCGGGGGCAGAAGGAGTCTAGGGAGAAGACTGGCTTGCAGTTAGCAAAGGCTCTTGGAGATTTTGGCTTCAGAGGTCCCGGAATTTCTCGTTGTGACACTAGTAGCGTTTGATCTGTCACCATCACTGACAGGAACGGAGCCCAGGGAACTTTGGGTGGTTGTACAGAAACTGATCAAACAGCATCAGATTTGAAACTGATTAAACAGCATCAGATTGAAACCGTCTCACACTGACCATTATGTAAAGCGTGATTCATCACAATTACGTCTCAAAATGTCACAGGCTAATACTTCAAACCAACAGAGCACGTGGCCACCCTGGCATTCTTCCTCAGAATGGAGAAGTTCACCCATTTCAATCGTTCCGTGCATCTTAGATTTGCTCTGGGAAGAGTGGCATTCAGAATCACTGAGGCAGAAAAAGAATTTCCAGCCACGATTTCAGAGAGAACAATTAGTAGGCACTTAAATGACACTCCACAATGACCAGTGTTTTCTGAATCCCAAATATTCTGAACTAAACATTGAAATGAGATGGGAACTGTCATAACCAAGGAGTTTCAACTGAAAAGTGTTCCCTCTTTTCCTTCCAACCACCCATCCAACCACCCAAGCAATCATCCTCCCTTCTTCCCTCTCTCCTTCTTGTCCTCCTTTCTTTCTTTCCTTCCTTCCACACATATTTATTGAGTTTCAAGTTTATGACTAGGAAAGCAAGACCTCGGTCTCACAGGGCTCACATTTTAGGGGGAGAGACAAATGGTACTGAGTTATAAATACATAAATACATTTTCTTTCAGATCATGATAAATGCTGTCAGTATCATAAATGTTAAGTTGGAGAGTTATAAATGGCTGGGCTATTTTAACTTCAGTGCCCAGGGAAGGCACTTGGAGGAGATGTGTCAGTTGAAATGTGAATTTTTACTATTCAAGCATAAAAGCTTGAATATATATGCATTTTGTGCTATTCATAACTTATTAGACATAAAAATGAGTCTGGAGCTTTTCAGATTTGTAGCTTTGTTTATGCTTATTATTCAAAATATATGAGAACTCTTTACCTGGCATTTTTGTATACATCCTTATGCAAATAGGAAATTTCATTCACTGAACTTCCCACTGTCTATGACCCATCACTAAGTCTTGCTCATTTGTTCATTCTCCTTCTGAAATAGCTTTCCATTCCCACTGCTCCTGCCCCAGTTTGATTTTTTATCCTCTTGTCAAAGAACTACTTCAAAGAACCATCGCTTAAGTGACACCCTCATTGCCCACTCCAATTCAACTACTTGCAACCAGAGTTGATTTTCTGAAATACAGATCTGATCAAGGCACTCCTCTACCCTCCAAATCATCGCCATCTTCATGATAAAATCCAAACTCCCTGGATGCCATCAAATGCCCTTCCCCATCTGTAAAAGGTGCCTTTACAGTCTCTTCCTCTATTTTGCAGCCACACCTGCCCAACATCTGCTTGGTCACCTGCCACCCTGCTGTGAATATTGGGGCTCTCTACCTGGACATTCCCTGTCCCCATCTCTGCCAGCCTCATTCATTCTTAAAGCTCCTCGTACCTACTACTACTTACCATATAATGTGGGAAGTTCTATAATAGAGGTATGCATGCATTTATCATGTTGTATTGTAATTTTCCCAATGAAATATCGGTCTTTGCCTCAGTGTGGGGACCTGACGCTGGAGCCAGGTTTTCTGGGTTCTGATCCCAGCTTCCCAGCTTGGTCTGTGACTATCTCTGCACCTTTCATTACATCTGTACCTTCTTTTCTTCATCCGTAAAAGCAGTATAACTCAGTAGTACCCGGGTTATAGTGTTGTCAGATGAACGTGTCTAGAACCGGGCTTGGCACGTTGAACAAGTTTTCAATGTGTGTTTTGCCGCTTAGTTTTATATTAACTTCTGTATCTCCAGGGACATAAAATCAGGATACAATGGTGATTACAAGAATAAAAAGATCAGCCTATGAGCACCTCATTAATACGCAAATGACATAATCATAATAAAAGATTGAGCATGTAGAATTGGAAATATTACTTCAAGATTTCTGTAGTCAAAGACACGTACAGTAGACACAGTTTAGCAACTGGCGATATTTCTAGGGGATGGATTGAAAGTTCCGAACCATATGGGTTTCCCACCATTTTCTGTCCTCCTCTGTGAGGAGGGGGCAGGCTGCTATGGGCTGCAGTATCTGGAGACCCCGTTGCTCTCTGGTTAATTGATGGCTTGGCCAATGGGACTGGAGGGTGGACGGAGGATATTGAGATATTATTTCTCTCTCTGTCTGACTCAGGGCTGGCAGGGCTGTGTCTACCTGTGACCGCAGCTCCCGAGGGAGGCTCAGCAGGGATCCAGCTCCATCCCCTCCTTCTTCCCTGGCACGAGCATTACCTTTGAAGATTTTGACCGGTCCTTATCAACTTGGAAAGTCAGTGGTACAAATGTTGCCAGAGTTGCTCCAGGTCTTTGCTCAAAACCGGTCAACCCTCTACCTTTAGCAGGAGTTAATATACATCTTTAAGTTAAAGGGCCCAGAAATAAGAAAGAAGTACAAACAAGCAAACAAAAAAAACCCCAGGGGAACCAGCTGAGACCAAGATGTCTATGAATCTGACCTCCAACAGACCCAGAGTCTCATCATACATTGATTTGACTACATATTTGCATATTAAATGACACATCTACCAGCAGCCATGACCGGACATTAAGGACCAGAAAGGATAGAAAGCGGGTGGCACCCTCTTCCCCGGTAGACTAATGCATATGCCCCCCTGTACCTCTGGGCCGGGCACTTCCGGGCTTCTGACCTCCATCCAGAGAACCTGGCTAATTCTTACAACATCCCTGGAGTGTCCTTCCCCTACGTACTCAAGTGTAGCTGACACACTGACATGGCCTCATCCAGCCAGAGATGAGCAGAGACAACGGAGCTTGGTTGAGAGCAGGGGCTGGGCAGCTGGCGAGGTGCCTTCCCCAGTTGGAAAGTCACTGAGGCCACTCTCAAGTGGCAATGAGCAGGCCAGAAGTGCGGCCAGTCTTCTGTGCTCTCCATCAGGCCCCTGCGGCTGCACAGAGACGTGCCTGATCCCAAGGTTTCCACTCGATCGCTGGGTCCCATTCATGCCACCAAGGTGCTCGCCCCTGTGAACCTCTGTCACCATCCAAACGCAGCTCCCTTGGCCATCCGAATGATCATCTCCCTCTGCTACCCTAAGCTCTGTCCTCCCAACTCTGGGCTATAAAGCCCTGGGAGCCCCTTTCTGTTGCCTGCACACCCTATCTGGCCTCCGCCTTCTCAGACTGCCTCCTTCCCCGGGCAGCTCTCCATCTAAGCACCTCCTGCGCTCACCCCACTCCTCCCGGGCTGAGCTGTCTGGCCACTCCGTCTCAGCTTCCCTCAGGGACCCTGGGCTCTGCCCACCCCTCGCACATCAGCTCTGTGCACCTCTCTGCAAGCTCTCACCTCCTGGCCCGGCTGAGCCCCTCCGCCTGTGCTGGCATCTCCCAAACCTCAGTTTCCAGTCCAGCTCCCATCCCAGTTACTGGGGCCACAGTTCCAGTTACATATTAATATATCCATCTGTATTTACTTTTTAAAGACATTTTAATTTTTATCTTAAATTTTTTTTAATTTGGGGCATAGGTAATTAGATTTCTTTCTTTCTTTGTTTTAATGGATGTCCTGGGTTCAATCCCCAGGACCTTGTGCATGTTAGGCATGTGCTCCACCACTGAGCTAGACCCTCCCCCAGTTCTGTCTGTATTTATAATGGAAACTGCAAATTCTACCTGTCAAAGAGCGAACTCCTCATCTTTCCTCTACGCATCGTCTACTTCATGCAACACCCATCATGGTTAATTGTCCCACCCCACCCCACTGTGCAACCAGAAACCTTGGACATGCTCTGGATTTCTCTCTCCCTCACCTCGGCATTCAACCCGGGAACCAGCTCGTTCAGTCTCGCCCTGCGCTGAGATGTTCCAAAGTCAGGTCCCTCCTCCCTGGGACCCTGCTGCCCCTGCTTCGCGTGTGGCCCCTGTTTCTCCCCTTGACGTAGCAACAGTTTCAGAGCTGGTCTCACTCTTGCCAGTCTTACTGCCTCAAAATCCTCCCCATGTTATGGCCAGATTTATTTTCTAAAACTCAAATCCATCAACAGTATACTCTGCCCTCTCCTCCATCTCCAGATTCGTTCCCACCACAACCCCAGATCTCCGGTGCTCTCTGATCCACCTGCACTGTTCACTGAAAACTTCATTCCCTCTCATGCCTTTTAATTCTTGCTTCCAATGTGTGCTCCTTGAAACGTCTTTTCTCCCTTCTACTGCTGACTCTCCTACTCAACTGTCCCTCGAGACTCGACACAACTGTCTCCTCTTTTCGTGAGATCCCCGGACTTCACTCCCCACCCCCCATTCTCTGCCTTGGACTGACAGAGACAGTTTCCCTTGTGATTTAATACAATTCTAACATGTGTCTTGGGCTTATCCACATACACACACACACACGCAGCCCTATTTTACGGCAAGACGCAGAAGCTGACATTCACTGTATGACAGACCATCGGTCCAAAATCAAAGAATTTCAAACCCATGAATACTTTTGAGAAGCCTCCACTGGGAACTCTCAGGATTTTAATAGAATTATTAATATTCAGGACCTGTGTCTCCTTACCTTAGCATCTCTTCAGAAGGCAATTCCAGTATCTTACATCAGTTTGCAGGGACAGGAAATTCACAGCATCTTTAGTAACTTATCTGGTATTCTGGGTAAAGATGGACACAGAGCCTTCCTTCTGGTGCCCCGTTATTAACTCTCATCCTACCCCCTTGGGATTTCAGACACACTGCTCCAAACACAGTGGCCCTCTGGAAAGACTACTGACTCCTGACCAAGAAAGACCAGAAAGCTCAAACACAAGATGGTGAAAATTCCTGCTCTTACCATTCAAGGTGGTTTTCCACAAACGCGGACATGGGGCTGATCTGCACGGTGTAAGTGTCATTGGCCGAGTACTCGAAAAGTCCGTAGTAGGGGTTGAAGAGCTCCTGAGACAAAAGGAAGAAGAACTCTCGCGAAGGACCACTGTAGTCCAGGCTGCAAAGGAAGCAGAGGCCCGGGAAGCTCATTACGTGTGGGAGGCGGGGGACCGTTTCCACGCGGGGCCTGGTGGGCCCTGTCTCATTCGGTGCCGGGGAAGCAGAAGGCAGCCTCTGCTCTTTACGGTGGATCCCAGTGGGAATACAATTTGCAGGGGAGAATGAAGGCGCTGTGATGGGTTTGGGGATGGTGGCCTTACTAGATGAACTCTTTTTTAATTTGATTTGATTTATTTTTATTTTGGGGGGTAGGTACTTAGGTAATTTTTCTTATTTATTTTTTTAATGGAGGTACTCAGGATTGAATGCAGGACCTGGTACACTCTAAGCATGTGCTGTACCACTTGATCTATACCCCACGTCTAGATGAACTCTTGGTGATGAATTAATGAACTCTTATGACAGTGTTCCTTAACTTTTTTTCCCCATCTTATAATATCTATTGGATAAAACACACAGCTGGTCCATTAAAAACAAAGGCTTTGTGGTGGGAGGCACAAAAGAATTTCCTGTGATGGTGTGTGTGTGTGTGTGTGTGCATGTGCATGTGTATGAATTGAAAAAACTTCCAAGTTCACTCTGATACACCCTTCTAGGTGGGTCTGCCCTCCACGGTTGAGATGGTTTGCCATGAAATCACAGAAATGATGTGGAAAGTCTGGTATGTGGTCATCCGTGTGCCCTCCCGGGGGAAGAGTTCTTTAACCACACACTCAGAAGTGTACACCACCTGAAAAATCAAAGATCCAGTAGCTGAGGTCTGTATCTTTGGCTTCTCCTTTGACCAAGTAACCTCAGACTCTGAAACATACCAATGATCTCAAGCCTTTGAAGAACGTGAAGCCTAAAGCTTGGCAATCCCTGGGGAGAAAGGCGTCCTGATCAGAATCACCTTGGGGCAGAGGCTTAGAGCCTCCCGCTCCTTCTGGAGCAAAATCACCCGAGATCTGGGGGCCCTGGTCCACCCACCCTGAGGGGACCACGTCAAGTTGCTGGAGCCTCACCCCTCTTCTCCGACGAAGGTGATGTAGAGCTTGTTTCGCTGGAGCTCCTTCCGGGAATAGGCCATCACCTGATTGAAGGTTCCCTCCAACAGGTGGTCCCGACGAATGATGAGCCTGGGAAGGAGAGGAAGCCACGTGGGCGGTGAGGCGGGGCTCCGGCTCAGACGCTGGGGAGTGCTGCAGGCGGGCTGTGAGGACCCAGGCTGATGGCCTCACTCCACAGCTTCCTCAACAAGGTGCAGTTTCCATCAGCGCAGCCATGGAATTATGCTAACACTTTTCAAAGCACTGGGGGCACAGGACTACATGGACCCTTTTATAATGAAGTACCTTCCATCACACTGGACCACTGTTAGGATTCTTTTTGATCAATTCCAGGAGGAATCTCTTAAGTTGGATTCCTGCATTTGGGTGCGGCTTTTTAAAACAAAAATAATAAACTCAGGGGGGAAAAGCACAACTTTTTACTTAGACCCCAAGGAGAAAGTTACAAAGAGGCCGTGAATTTGATGAATGAGTTAAATTTATCTCAAGGTTATGAAGAGGAAATTCTATGATTTTTAAATTGAGTTCAAGATTCCTTGTTTTCTAAAAAGATCTACCATTGATTTTATATGTGGGTTTAAAAGGTTTTGTCTGAGATGACTGGATAAAGAAGTTGTGGTACATTTATACAATAGAATACTACTCAGCCATAAAAAAGAATAAGATAATGCCACTTGCAGCAACATGGATGGACCTACAGATTGTCATTCTAAGTGAAATAAACCAGAAAGAGAAAGAAAAATACCATATGATACCACTCATATGTGGCATCTACAAAAAAGAAAAAAAGAGGACACTATGAGCTCATCTGCAAAACAGAAACAGACTTGCAGACATAGTAAACAGTCTTGTGGTTACCAGGGGAAAGCAGGTGGGAAGGGATAAGTTCGGGAGTTTAACATTTGCAAATGTTAGCCAGTGTATATAAAACTAGATTTTAAAAAATTTCTTCTGTCTAGCACAGGGAACTATATTCAGTATCTTGTAATAACCTTTAATGAAAAAGAATATGGAAATGAATACACGTATGTATATGCATGACTGGGACACTGTGCTGCACACCAGAAATCGACACATTGTAACTGACTGTACTTTGATTCAAAAAAAAGAGAAAAGAAATGAAAAAAAAAAACTTTTGTCTGAAATCTACTGTTCTTTCTGTCTCTCCTTCCCTTTCCTTCCCTTCCAGCCTTCCTTCCAATTTCTTAACTTCCTTTCTTCTTTCTTTCCAACATCCTCAATTTTTCTTTCCTCCTTTCTATGTGCATGACTACTGTCACACCATGGTATCCAATCTCCAAAATAAATAAATAAATAAAATCCTACAGAGTCACAGGGGAGAAAAGGATGATAAAATCTACCATGTGAATTCAGCAGTGAGGACTGGAGCACTCACTTAATTTTCCCTGGACCCTGACCAAATCCTTTGGCTTCCAGTTTTCGGTAGAAATTGCGGAGTTTGGCCTCAAAGTCTCTCCTGTAGGGTGACGGGGCTCGTGCGCTGGCTCTCTGTAAACCTGCGGAGAGAAGCCATTTTTACTGAACAAGTCATGACAAGGGTCAGCAGAGGGAGGGCCACTCAGAGGCACATTCCCGTGTCTTCATACATTTCTTCTCTAAGCACTTTCCCTTGATTTCTGTCACTCCTTTGAGTACTTTTATAATAAATAGAAATAATATAATTAAGAGAAAACTGAATTCCGATGACAATAAACATGTATGTCTTCTACTCCATTTCAAGTTGTGTTTTTCTTCAAAATACCTTGATAAGCCTATTTCTTGGCTTAATTGTTCTTACATATTTTCAAACAATATAAATCCAACCAGACTCTTCTAAGCTGCAATTGTATCATAAAGCAATCAGGGTTGTAATATGTGTGTGTGTTGCACAACTCTTAACTATATTTATATTGATGCTAAAATAAACATGCATGCCCATGAGGGCCCAGAGCATTGAAGAGTTTATGTTAGATTACCTTGCACCACCACAACAAGATTAATAATATTATTATTAATAATAATTCCTTGACTCTTTATAGAAGACAGTTGTGTATCACTTAGAGTGCTTTGTGAATGATTTATTATCTTTACTTTTTAATGAAAAAAAGAGGAATGGAAAAATAACATTCTTCTCCAAGTTTCACAGATGGCTAGAATCACAATTTACCCTTTCAATAACTGTTCATTAGTCTATATTCCAGGTATTGCATTTATAATCCAGCGAAAACTGAAACCACCAAGCTCACAGAAATGAGAATATAATTACAAGTTGAAATGACTGTTGCCTGTGAAGGACAGGAACTTGGTTCTTTGAGATCACAGAATACTCTGGCCCAGTTCAGAAAGCCTTTCCTGAGGAATAGCTGAAGAATAAATAGGCATGAATTAGATGGAGTGAGTTTGGAAAGGTTTCCATCTAACTGAGAGAAGAGATGAGCTGGGAGAAGAGTAATCTAGGGAGAGGACCAGCATGTGCAAATGTACTGTGGCAGAATGGAAAGCAGTGCTCTCGTTTATCTGGAGCACAGTGTGCCAGGACCAAAGTGATGCCAAACAAGGCTTGAGAGGTGGGCAGGAGACAGACCAAATGGGATAAGGTACACCCTGCTAAGCAATTTTGTTTAATGTTAAGCACAAAAGGAAGCCATTGTATGGGGGCTGACATGATGTGTCTTAAGTTATTAAAAACATCAGTCTTTCTGCAGTAGAGAGAAAAGCTGGATTCTGCCCAGGGTGGATTTAGACAGTCTAAACTAGACTAGGGTGGTGTCAGTGTAGATGAGACGTCATAGATTGGAGATGAGTTTAGGAAGCAATGAACCAGATATAGGTAGTGAGGCAAAGGTGAGTTTCCAATAGTGTAACAGAATGGGCTGTGGCGACACTCACTGGGCTGGGAAACAACGGAAGAAGAACAAATTTGTGGGGAGATCATGAACTTGGTCTTTGATGGTGGGACCTCTGAATGCTTAATTGGAAAGAGACATAGCTTGAGAGAGAGGAGAAAAAAGTTGACACTGAGTGTTGAGGATGGTAGGAAGGGAAGGATGAATCTGCAAAGGAGGCCGAAGACGTAGATGAGATGCCTACAGTGGTGTCACAGAAGCTAACTGAAGAGGTGACTTAAGGGGGACAGCCATCAATAATGCTAAATATGGCTGAAAGATCAGGGGGAGGGCTGAGATTACCCCCTGGACTGGGTGCCCAGAGGCCCTGGTCACCTTAGTGAAGACACCTCTTCTCATGCACAGGTCTGAGTTGGGGGACTTGGGGGCAGGTTTGGTAGGCTTGTATGATTGGCAGCAGGCATCTGAGAAGGCTTCTGCCTAAGAGCTTCAATGCTCTCCGTGAAGGAAGAAAGGGCCAAGATTTTCCAGGAGAGAACAAGGGGGTGGAGGTTTGAGAGGAGCAGAAATGTCTGAAACAGCAGTAGAGGAAAGATTAAGTTCACCAAAGAAATGTGGTTGAATTTTCTTTTGAGTGTTCACAGTCCATGAGAGGTGAGAGATGGCCAATTTATAATTGACAACCTGCCCTGTCAGGTGAATTCGCCCAAGAATGCCTGACTACAGATGCAGAGGAAACAGACAGAAGATGATCTCAGGGTGGAGTTCTGCGAATGATATGGAAAGGATCGGGGATTTCAGGGCACTGGCAAGGGTGGCACTGAAATGATGAACCATGGACTCTGTGCTGGATGAGGGAGGGGCAGTGAGAAAGGGAAGGAGGGGCGTCCGTGAACCGGAGGTCCTGATGAGTGCAAAGGGTGGTACTAGGGAGGGCAGTTGAATGGGCTTGTTGGATGGGAGTAGGATGCCTGAGTCAGTGATCTCAGAGATGGTAACAAGGGCAGGAAGGTGACAGGGGACAGGTGGGTGACGTGGAGGAGGACAAGGTTGGGGCAGGCGAGGAAGTTCAGAAACTGGGAGGCCAGGGAACTGAACGGGTGCCCTTGTGGCTGTTGGAGTCATCCGGGATGGTGGAAGGACTTGGGGAAGAGAGGGAGGCTGTGAGATGAGTGCTGTGGTCCTTGAGAGGGAGAAAGAGGCTGGGAGATGACAGCAAGTAGGAAGGGGGTTGAAGCAGAGCAGTGTTAGCAAGGATGCTCGGAGGGCACTGGCCCCACCGGCGGGCCCTGTAGCACCTGACGTGCGAGGGAACCAAGAGCCACCACTTGCAAAGGAAAGTGCCTTTGGTGAAACGCCAGGTTTCAGGACACAGTGGGAACTAGAATACAAGCCTATAGGTGCAAGTGTAATTTTCTGCCCAGCAGATGACAGTGCATTTTACAATGTGACTTTCACCACTGCTGGTACTACCACGGTGCCTGTGGTCACGACTGGGCACTTTTCTAATAACTCATGCTTTACAAAGTTGGGATAAACGTCTGATTCACTATCTCTGCCTCTGAGTGCATTTCATAAAGGCCTAGAAAAATGGAAGCTGTAAAATTTCCCGTCAAAATATTTGGACCACATAATCTAGGACCCCGTAGTCAAAGCTAGGAGAGAAAACGATTAAGCACTTTGACAGAATGAATTGGGTAATTGGATGCATGGTGTTAATCGTCTTTATCAGGAAAGATGGTTCCTTTTATAAAACTTCTCCAAGTCATTCTCATTTAGCAACTAAGTCTTTATACTTTCTTATTTTTCTATTTGCATTATGATCTCTCCCCTGTGTAATGATGTTAAAATTATACTCTACTGCCAAAGGTTTGGACCAAAGCGTAGACATGCTGTCAGGTTGGGACAATCTCTGCAACAAAAGGGCAGCTCCTCAGGCAGACCCACAGGCCCCCACAGATGGAAGGCTCTGCTCCCCAGAAATAAGTCATCCTGTGCCCTGGAAACAACTGATTATCCCAATACTGACTCTGACCAAGCTCCCGGTCCTCCTTTTCCCAGGCTGTGTTGTCTCAGTTATGCTGTATGTCGGAGGCAGCACACGTGACACATTTTTTCTACAATGCCGGTGACACAAGTGTATGGAGGAAGGCACAACAGGGAGACACGGACTTAAAAACAGACGTTGGCAACTAGCAAAACTACCGCTAAGAAACTGTTCTGAACAACATGACGGGGATGAGCCGCACGAAAAGATGCTCTAGCTTTACAATCTTATGTTACTGGTGAAAGGGAGGTGGGAGGGGATACATTTGGAGTTTGAGATTTACAAATGTTAGCCACTATATATAAAAACAGATTTAAAAAATTTCCTTTGTATAGCGCAGGAAACTATGTTCGATATCTTGTAATAACCTTTAATGGAAAAAAATATGAAAACGAATATATGTATGTATATGCATGACTGGGACAGTGTGCTGCACACCAGAGATTGACACAATGTAATTGACTGTACTTCAGTGAAAAAAGATAAAAGATGCTCGAGTTTTAGAGACCTGTGGCTGTACTGAGGGGCACTAGCTGAGTGAGACACCCCTTCTGAGGGGTGGACTGTATTGCTGGATCCTGTTTCTCATCTCAATTTCCCCACTGGCTTCAAAAGCCAAGTTTGGACTCTACCCCTAGGGGCTGTGAGACAGGAAGTGACTAGATTTTTCAAACTAACTTCTTTCATTCAATTTTAAAGTTATAAAAATAAATTTGGGCTTACCCCAAACACCCATGACAGGGGGATATGGAAAACCAAGCCAATGGGGACAAACGCTTCAATATCTGGATCCCGTTCCGGGAGTATGGATTTGACTGAAGCTAATTCTCTTGATGAAGCCAGGACATAATGCCTTCTTTTTTTGCTAAAGAGTTCAACATGTATTTCCTCATTTCTGAGGAAAGAATTTTTGTACCATGAGTAAATTCATTCTAATACATAGAGGAAATTTTAGGGGAACAATTTCACATGATGTTAAAAAAAAAAACTCTTTGGCCAGCAGTGTGGGAGGGTTCCCTTCCCTCCACGCCCTCTTCAGCATTTCTTGTCTGTGGACTTTTTAATGATGAAATAGATAAACAGAAAGGTTCTACACAAGGTATAGCACAGGAATATATCTTGTAATAACCTATGATGAAAAAGAATATGAAAAGGAATATATATATATATAAATATGTATAACTGAAACATGATGCTGTACACCAGAAATTAACACATTATAAATTGACTATATTTCAATAAAAATAATTTAAAAAAAGAAAAAGAAAAAAAGCTCTTGGGCATTTTCGTGGGGACCTAATGGTGGTTCCTAGTGAGCATATAACCTAGTAAATCCTTTACAACTTCACAAAAAGTTACTAAAATTAGTATCTAATAACATTCTGAGTCATAAGGCACAATATTTCAGAAAGAGCTTTTCTGTTTTAAATGCTTGGAGACTGTGTTTAAAATGCAACAGCAACTTAAAGCAGGGAACAACAGACTTTTTCTGTAAAGGGTCAGATAGTAAATATTTTTGGCTTTTTGAGCCATATGGTCCTTGTTGCTACTACTAAACCCTGCTGTTGCAGCACGAAAGTTGCCACAGAAAATACAGAAATAAACAAGTGTAGCTGGGTTCCGATAAAATTGTATTTATAGACACCGAAACTTGAATTTCATGTAATTTTCACATGTCATGAAATATGGGTTTTGTAAAAAAAAATAATAATTCCAAATCATTTAAAAATGTAGAACACATTCCAGCTTGGGGGCATTACCAAAATATTGGTGGTAATGTGTCAACACCTAATTTAGATAGTGTGTGTATGATCTGAAAATGGAAAGACATTTTCATCTGCTGGAAACTCAGGCGGCCGCTTGCAGGAGAGAGAGCTCCAGAGCATCACGTTACCTGGGGAGTTCTGAGGTGAGGAGCAGGGTGAACAGCGGGGAGAGAAGCTGTACCCAGGGTGGAAGGCAGCCTGCAGGGGGACATAGGACATAATCTCTTCTTCAAAGAGACTGCAAAGGAAAAAAAAAAGTTAGTTCTATGTCCAGGAGAGAACGTTCATGAATTGGGGTAAAAGCAGTTACAATTCTCACAGGGCAACCAAAGCACTGAGATTCACTTAGACAGGCGCAGCCCAGCATGGAAACTCTTCCTGTTATTTTAAACCCTGATTAATCCTACAACGAGGTTGCCATCAAGCACCGCAAGTAGCTTTTGGTACCCTAGCTGTGAATGTAAAGGCGGTGATGGACAGCAGGGAGGGCATTGGGTGGGGGGGTGCCCTACTGCCTGTGGTGGCCACTGGAATCCTCTAGAACAAACAACAAGTGTTTCAGTCTGGGCTGTGGTGGAGAACTGCCCAGAGCCGCTTTCCCAGTTGCTTTTTCCAGAACTGTTTCAGGCTTAGCCCCTTACCTCAGCAAAATGACCAGATCTGCATCACAGGACAACTTTTCAAGCCCATGATTACCCTCGGTCCGAATATAGTGGATTTTCTCCCTAGAATAACGCGGGGAAGGAAATAAGAATTACACACTGGCACACAAGCTGGGGAATGAATCCCTTTCTGATCCTGTTTTATTTTTCTCTTCCAAGAGGGCTGAACAGTGATGTTTTAATGTCCAGGGTATTTCAAGGCATTTTAAGTTCACATGGCCAGGTTCCCACGATGCTCTTCTAGAAATTGCCTTTCCTTGCACTGCCTTCTGTGGTGCAGTAATTAAACTTGGGCAGAGTTGACCATCAGTGGAAGTGACAATCACTCAAGCTAAAGACCTTCCGTTCACTCTAAAAGTAATCAGCATTTCTTCAAAGCAGAGGACCAGGCTCTGAGGGGAAGGTGGTACAAAGACAAAGAAGATATAGATCCTGCTCTAAAAGGGCTTAGAGTATTCAAAGGAGACATCAGTGCATGATAGAACACAGAAGAGGATGGAAAAATACCTTAGAGGTACAAAAAAGAATGCTATTAAAGTGAGGCAAAAGAAAAACTAGAGTTTGCCTGGATCCATCGAGGCTTTGTGTTTGATTGGAGCTTTTAAGATGGGTTGAAAAGCCCTTAAGAGAGAAGCCATTCCAGGAACAAAAAAGGTAGGAGACGATAAGGCTGTTTGATGGAGGTGGAAGACACCAGAAGGAAAAAACTAGCACAGGACAGAGATACAGGTTACAGCCAGACTTTGGAGACCATGGAAATTATGCTTAGAAATCTTGACTTTATTATACATACACCATGGGAATCATGGGAAATTTTTGTTCTTTGGCATTATTTTGTTTTTTGGAGAAATGAAAACGAAAGCCTTTGTTAATGCATTTTGAAATCCTGGAGAGAATACAGAAGTATCTCAAGATCGTTCATTTGGTTCTTCAGTTGCCATGAATTCCCCTCTTACGAGAAGGTTGACATCTTTCCTTAGCATGACTTCTAAAGGCAGAAAGGTTCTGTCAGGACCAGTCCCTTTTTGGAGAGGGAGCTCATAATTTCATAAGTAATGGAAGTGCCCCCCCCCAACAAAGAATTTCCCCTCAAAACTCCATGTAAGAAAGCTGATTTTGTAAGTCAGCACATTTTTTTCAGGAGCTCTCAGACGATACCCAGATTTCCAGCCCTGTCCCCATCCCCAAACTCATAAGTCTTATCCTATTGGGTAAGAAGGAGAAATGCAAAATCTAGCCCCTTTCATTTGGCCTCGAAAACCTCATGAGGTGGGCACAGGTCTCCCAGTCACAAATCTGGGCTCAATTGCTCAGCGGCCTGGCAGGGGCAGCCAGAGCAGAGATTAGAGGAAGGCAGGGCTGACTAGGGGCCCAGTGAGGGTGAAGGCCACTGCCCTCACTTCATCACAGTGAGGTTAGCATCACATGCCCACCTCTGCCCTCTACCTGATGCCGTGTAGCGTACTTCCTCAAGGACTAAATTCCAGAAAGACTCCTTAGCTGCTTTGAGGTCCCCTAGAAGAGTGTCCAAAAGCTACCATGGTGGCTGGCCCTGAGGACAGATACTCCATGCAAAGTGTTTTTGAAGGGTGTGAGTGACATGTGCTAGAAGAATATAATTCTGTTCCCAGCAGAGTGATTGGCGGTATCTTCTAAGAGACCACTGCAAGGTCCAGGAGCAAGATGATGAGGACCAAACACAGGCCATGGCAGGGAGAAGAGAAAGTAGGGCTGGAGGAAGTGAGGAGGTGAATGTTTAGATGGGAAGATGAAGAAAGAGGCAGAAGTGGAGATGACGGGCAGTTGGGAGGATGGTGGTTCTAATTTACAAAGAGTAAAACCACTGGGGAAGGAGGTGTTGGTGAGGGGGTGGTGGAGGGAAAAAAGAGTGAGTGATCTGTCCTGGCAGGATTAATAAAGATTTGAAGAGCAAAGAGTCTATCTTTAGGTGTTGGTGACTCACTGAGGGAGTCAAAGAAGGTTGCAGTGGTCAGCCAGGTTCAAAAGACCACCAAATGGGAGGCGAGGCGTTAGAGACAGTCACTGCCTGCATCCCTGCCCACCTTTACCTAATCCTTTACACACACCCCCAGTTAAGCATCTCAGTGGTGCTCACACTGTGACCCTGTTTCAGTGATGAGAGGACTGCGGGTAGAGGATTAATTAACATATCCCTCCATCAATGGTCCCTAAGTGCTGGAGCAAGTATTCAAATTCTAAGGGGACACACTTAACCACTATGCATCTCCAGTTCCTGAAAAGCTGGGTAGTAAACTGAAAAAGAAACAGGCTTGAATATCTCGGTGACAAAGTGGGCTCTAAGTTCAGAGGATACTTTCTCTTTTTGTCTCTTTGGGTGGGCATCCTTTCCACATGAAGTGACTGAGAGTTTCAGATACACTCATTCAAAAATGACCGTAATGGACAATAGGGTTTAAGTAGTTAGAACATATACGATGCCTTTTGCTTGCTTGCTTGTTTATTTTTGAATATAGTCATCTAATATCCCGTTTACCATTAAATAATTATATTTTAAAAATAAAAATAACTTATATGGTACTTTATGTAAACAATTGTTTGATGAAACAATTATTTTGCTCCCTTTCTGTGCTTCCCTTCAAATCAGTGGAAATGATTTTAGCATCTTATGAGTAACCTGACAACATGACTGTCTCTGCTTGCAACACTTCAGAGAGCATTAGAACCCCCTGGACCTTTCATTTTAAATATTTAGGTTATAATTTAAGTGCATGAATAAAATTCATCAGAAGCATCTGCCCTGTCTCCACAGAGGTTGTCCGACCTGGAAAACTAGCTGGAGGAGACCTGGAGTTTAGGAGGTGGCGGACAAGCCCCTACCTGAGTGAGTGGTTTCTCGCCAAGCTTGGCTGACGCTCTTGCAGCATTTCAAAAATGTTTGGCTGGCGAAGAAATGCCACAATCTTGTCATTATATGCTGAAACAGACAAAAGTACAGGTTGTGGTTGAGTCTTCAGCCCAGGGGTAATTTCTCTAATGATTGGAAAACGGTTGCTTGATACCAGGATTAATGGAGGAGTTTGAAGGGCAGATCGCATACTGGTCAAAACAAAATGTAAGCTCTTGAGGGTTTTTTCCTGTGACATAAGAGCACTATTATTTTTAAAAGATCAAACCCAACGTGCATCAGATCTATGTTAATTATCTTTTACATTCCAGGAACTTACCTGGATGTTAACTCATCCCCTTGTGAACAGATGAAGGAGAATAAAACAGGTCTTCCATGTGGGGAGTTTGGCTGGCTTCCCTCTGACTTTTTTGGTTATTTTGTCATAGTTATTATGGCAAAAGATTCTTTATGAGTTCAAAGAAGTCCTTTCCTGAGCACTGGTACCTATGGCATTGGCCATTGGTTGATTTCCCAAGAGTAATCATTAAAATATCCCAACCTGTTTAGACTCTCACTTCATTTCCTTTGATACAAGTGACATGTGTTTTGGAAAGAGGTGGCTGAGGTTAGGAATGGCGATTGTGCCAGCTTTCCCCCACAGATACATGTAGAGAGAGGTCTAAATTAAAAATTGCATCTAACAGCAACAAAACGCATCACCTCACTTGAACTGTGCCCTCCTGGGACCCAGCTACCACATCACTGAATGGAATAAAGGTGAATTGGAATGAGGGTCTTGAAGGGAGGAGAGAAGAGGGAGGGGAGGGAAGAGAGAAGGACAAAGCAAAGAGGAAGGGAAGCAGGAATAGGAACAAGGGGGGATGGGAGACAAGGGTAGGGGAGTGGACTATGCTATAAGAGAAGAAAAAGAAAATACTGAATCCTGAATATTAAAGAAGTCATGATAAGAAAAACAAGGTTAAGTACTGGGTACCAGGGGTTCAAAAGGCACAATACATACCCAGTGGCAATGACTCATGTTGATGTTGGCTTCGAATAGCAGCTACGAGGCTGTGTCCTGGCCTGGCCAGTAAAGAGGCTCCTCTGTTTCTAGAGACTTCGGAGGCCTAATTTCAAAAAAGAATGGTGAGCATTAGAAATCTCATCTATTTTGGATGATCTTTTGATACTAATTTTTCAATACGAGGAGTAAAAGACCCTGGCATCTCTGAAGTTAAAGATGCAAGGAAGTTATAATCCTCAAAGTGATGGAAAAATAAGCAAATTAAAAAAAATGGCAATAGAATGGTTGATGTTGTGGCTTTTAAAGAAAGTGGTCCTGCCAAATGTCATGAATGTTCATCAGATGAATACACGAACAGACTAAGAAACATTCCTTTTCATAAATACATCAAAGAGACATAAATAAACTCTTCGTGAAGACTGGCAGTAGGTAGGTTTACGCCCTTCATCGCTAAGAAGCAGCACTAAACCTTTCATTCATCACCGCGTGCAGAACGGACCGGCTCTTTTAAACAGCGTTTATCACACTCCGATGGCCATTCTCTGTTTAACCCCTATTATTCCATTCACCATGCAGTATCTCGTGTCCTCACAAAATTCTGCAAGATAAGCATTATTAACCCCATTTATAAGTGGGGAATCTGAGGATGAGACAAAATTAAGCTTTTCCAAAATTGTCAGCTGTAAGAGACAGAATCAGGGTATCAACAAATGCTTGACTGCAAAGAATTTTTTTTTTTTACTTCCCTTTACTAGTAGGCTGCATCCAATATCTTAGTTTGGGCTGGGCATCTTGACAAAACGCCAACTTGCTGAGGTTAAAACTGATATTTGTGATGGTTAACCTTAATTTAGCTCAATTTTAAATTTTAATAAATTCCCTAGGTTCTAGAGCAAGACCATGAGCTTTCTCCCATGATTTACACACATTTTCGCTCCTTAAGGACCATTGAGGGGTGAGCTATTTAAACTGAGGCACCACAGGTTTTCCACACGGGGGCAGCTTCACCAAATACATGGGGTTTGGTGTAGATTTTGACTCACTCTATGATATTTGGCAAAGTAGCCAAAATAAACTTTAAAGATATATAAGAATTTTGCTTATGACTTTGTAAGGTACTCATAAAGAGCTCAAACATTCAGACAGAAAAAGGAAAGAAATTTCTCCCCCTGAGACCAGCATACAATTCACTCACATGGAATTCAGGAGAGGTGATGATGAGACCCTGTGGTGCAAATTCCAGGTCAGGTCAGGTCAATGTCAAAGTGATGACTTAGGACCAGAACATGTGTGATACTGCAGATGACAAGGCAGGGCAGATGGCTTAGGGCTTCATTATTAAAGAAACAGTAATTGCTGGCTTTACTGCGGGTCCTACTTTCATACTCCGCACAGGTAAGAAGAACATCCTTTGTAGGCAGAGATGTGCTGCCAGTTCTGTGTCTGTATTTGGCAGCCTTTGAACTGCTCTTCTGGAAGTAGTAGAGACGTAAATCCATCCCTTTTCTCTCCTGATCCTTCTCTTTGCGCATGGCTTACTTTTGGGACAAGGGAATAGATTTCGTGCCACTTTGGCTGGCTTCTCGCGTTGATGTCCTTAGCACTCAGCTCTGTTGAGTCAGTCACCAAGACTTAGAAGACAAAGGGCTGTACTTCCGTTATAGCCCTTTGCAGGGAAATGGTTGCAAAGTGATGAAAAGAAAGGTTTGCTGATTGCTGATATGCAGTATTGAGCCTCACACTTCTCCTTTTTCTCTGTGAATTAATAAATATGTAAAGCCTTTCTGGGACTGAAATGCTCTGTCTCTTTTCTTTGGAAAGAATTACATCAGTCTGCCTTAATGCGTGTTTAAAATACTTTTGCTGCTTTAAAGACCCTCAAACTCAAAGCCCAGTTCATTGAAGATGATCTAAGTGATGAATTAACACAGAGAGAGACTGGGGAAGCAGATAGATCTGACAGTGAACTTCGAGGAGGGTTGGCTGTGCACTGAACTCGGGTGATACCTGCTGTCACACCCCGAGTGAAACTGTCTAATTGTCAGTAGGTTGCCTGGAGATGGATAAGGCTTTGAAACAGGAAGGAGCTGACTTCTATTCCTGGTAGACACAGGGAATTCATGTGCTGCGGATACACTTTTGGGGAAAAATGGTGTCTACTTCTGAAGTCACCTGCTCACTGGCAAAACTAAGCCAGACTGAAAAATGTCAGAAACCAGAGGAAAGTCAGCTGCTCTGAAGGCAGATGACTGGCTGAGGGTATGCTTGAGGCTGGCGATGAGGAGATGGAGAAAACAACACAGGGAAGACGTGGGGCTTCGGGGCTCCTTGACACAGAAGCATCTGTCAAGGATAAAGGAGGTGGTTGCAAAGTGGTACTGGCTGGCTTACAGACCAGAGTCAGAGGATGGGAGGGCCCCCATAGAAACATCCTTCTCCAACTGAGGGCTAGGAATTTACAGGGAGGGAGACAATTTCAGGTAGGGTGAAAAAAGACTGAGATTCTAAGACTGGGTAGAACTTAGCATGCTCGAGGATCCTTGCAGCCCTGAATGGGTACCGAATGGTCCATCCTGAGGGATGTCTGTTATAACTGAGTGGCTGATTTAGCTCTCACTGCAAACATGATGCTAAAAATCGCTTCCCTAACTACTGAATATGCCTAGAAGAATGGCTTTTCCATTTAACACCAAAATTAATATAACTCATTGAACTCCCCAGAATTTGACACTTTTAGTCTTACTGAGTTTCTCACGCAGGAGGGGTTGTGTGTGTGTGTCAGAGAGACAGAGAGAGGAGAGCCCCCTAGTGGCCTGCCTCTCCCCGGACATGCTCTGACTGTTCTGACTGGGTAAAACGCAGTTTGCAGGAAGAGCTACTTTTAAGATTTCTCTTCCTTTTGATTTTGAGATAGCTTTAATCATAATTGCAAATGTGAAAACTAGCAACATTTAGCGGTCCAGACAAAGTGAAATAGACATGCTCACAACATAGTTTTCAGCGATGGGTAAGCAAGCGTCTCTTCTGTGTTGCAGTTTGGAAATGTAAATTGGTGGGGTTTTTTTTTTTTTTTTTAAGCTGTGATTGAAAATCGTAGGCTTTAGACTGAATTTGGGTCCACTAATGCTCCCTTGAAAACACTAGAGACCTGATGATAAAAAAAATAGCAGATTGAGAAGAAAAGTCCAAGTGATGAGTTAATTCATCACTAGATTCCTTTCGTATTCTAAAAATGGATTACTAATAAAGCTTGTAGAGCTCTAAGAATAAAAGAGAGAGAGATCTATGTTTGAGTCGTTCAATGTATTTATAACAGTGAAAAGTGGGCAAATAAACATAATGGAAAAAGAAAGGCTTGAGTTAAATTACAGTAGATCCATGTGATAAAGTATGGAAGTATTTTAATGGCGTGGAAACCATCTACAAACTATTGTAATGGTAAATAAAAGAAGATACAGAACCACAGACAACATGTTCCATGTTTTTCCTTCAATGTGTACCAGAAATTGTCTCTAGATGGGGGGGGGAGTGGACTGTATGAGCCTTTTAACTTCTTTTCCATCGGTATCTGTACTTTCTATACAGACTACATACTGCTCATAATTCAAAAGCTGATTTTCATAGGCATCTGAATTTTACCAACTTCCAACCAAACTTGTAATCCAGTAAAGGTTACGTGGAATCAAGAGGAAAATTGCCAATTTTAAGAAGCAGTGCAGAAGTCACCCTCCCCCAAGGCAGGCTTCCGGAATGAAGATTTCTCTCTGTCGTCGGAGCCAAAATGTAATGACTTTTGGCTTATGAGCAGGTCACTGCAAAGAGTGACTCAGAGTGACTTCTGCTTTGAGAGTGAAAAGTCAGTTTCTCTTTCCTTTCCCTTTCTCAGACCCTTCCCCTTTCCTGGGGCAACTACTGTTGAGCTTTTCTGTATGGGCCCTTCCAGAAATTTCCTGTGACTGACGATTTCCTAACTGGACCAAGATAAGGTGGTGAAAGAAATGAACATTATGTGTTCTGTTACCCTTCCCTATTCATGTTAATTTGTATTGCAAATTGCAGTATAAATAAGACAGATTTGACCTACAGTGATTTCCTTACTGATGGAGAGATGGATCCAGTATTTATAGCCCCGGGTGTTCCTTCCATTCATTTATGTCCAATTCCATTTGGCTACTATGGAAGAGATAAAGCTGATTTTGTTGATGCTTAAATGTGTGGCAGACAGATGTGCCACTGTATTAAGATGCATGTTAAAGCGTCAAACAGTGATCTTTTTATGCATAAAATCCCATATTCTTGATAACTGCTTTCAGGAAATGGCCTGAAAATTTTTCAGGGGAGGTAAAGGCTAACCCAAAAGGTGCTGAGCAGTGTCTCTCTTAAAAACCTATCATTGGGGTTTTGAGGGAAATGTTTACCATTTAGAATCTTGGCTATAGAAAGTGATTTTAATTCTGTCCTTACATGCAATTGACCAAACATCGACTGCTAAGCGACACTCAAAAAATTCATGAAGGTGAACGGAAAATATCGATTCCTAAAACGGAGGTCTAAGACACATGTACAGTGAGCTCCCCATTACCCATGGTAGGTGACATAGCAAAATCATGGATCCTTGATTATTCCTGAGTCTCATATTTCTGCTGCTTAGCTGTCCTTTCAAACTGGCCATCCTGCTGTTCCCACACTCATCATCAGCACAGCTCCAGGCACACCGGCCAGCCTCCCCAGCCGGCTCTCCTACTCATCTTCCCTGTGTGCTACTGGTGGGACTGCGACTCAAGCATCACAGACTCTGAAAATCGTAGACCTGGAATGGATTTAGTGGCCATCCACTAAATCCACTGGCAGATGGGGAAACTGAGGCCCCAGAAAGGGCAGGAAAGGGCAATGACACACAGAGCCTCTGTGGAGAAGCCGGAGCTCGGACTCCCACCTGCTGACTCAAGTCCCAGGTACCCCTTCCTCCACACTCCTCCATTTCCCTGAGGGTTTTCTCTTTATCACCCCAATGTAGGGCCTTATCACCTCATTACCTGGCCTGTGGCTATGGCCTCTCATGGCCTTTCTCTCTCAAATCCCTCTGTGCCACAAGCCTTCCTCTTCTTGGCCATCATTGTCTCCTTTTAAAACTACTAGTCGGGGGGAAGGTAATAGCTCAGTGGTAGAGCATATGCTTAGCACGCATGAGGTCCTGGGTTCAATCTCCAGTCCCTCCATTAAGAAAAAGTTACAATAAAAAGATAAAAAGTATTCAAGAGAAAGTGACAAATGCTGAAGTAAGGCACAGAAGATCTAACACCCATATACTAATATATGGGTATTGTAAGTCCCTGGGAAGAAAAGTCAAAGTAAAGAACAAATATTAAAACTGGGAAAACTGGACAGCTACCTGTAAAAGACTGAAATTAGGACATTCCTTAACACCATGTACAAAAATAAACTCAAAGTGGATTAAAGACCTAAATGTAAGACCAGATACTATAAAACTCCTAGAGGAAAACATAGGTAGAACACTGTGGACATGCATTACAGCAATATATTTTTTGAACAAGCTCTTGGAGTATTGGAATTAAAAGCAAAAATAAATGGGATCTAATTAAACTTAAAAGCTTTTGCACAGCTAAGGATACCATCAACAAAACATAAAGACAACTTACAGAATGAAAAAAAAATTTGCAAATGAAGTGACTGACACAGGACTAATTTCCAAAATATACAAACAGCTCAGACACCTTAATATCAAAGAAACAAGCAACCCAAGCCAAAAATGGGCAGAAGACCTAAACAAGAATTTCTCCAGTGAAGACATACAAATGGCCAATAGGCACATGAAAAAATGCTCAGCATCGCTAATTGTTAGAGAAATGAGGATCAAAACTACAATGAGGTATCACTTCACAACAGCCAGAATGGCCATCATTGAAAAGTCTACAAATGGTAGATGCTGGAGTGGGTGTGGAGAAAAGGGAACCCTCCCACACTGTTGGTGGGAATGTAGACTGGTGCAGCCACTATGGAGGACAGTATGGAGGTTCCTTAAAAATCTAAAAATAGACCTACTACATGATCCACCAATCCCACTCCTGGGCATATATCCAGAGAAAAATAAAATTCAAAAGGACACATGCACCTCACTGTTCACAACAGCACTGTTTACAATAGACAAGACATGGAAACAATTCAAATGTCCAATGACAAATGACTGGATAAAGAAGATGTGGTATATTTATACAATGGAATACTACTCAGCCATAAAAAAGAATAAAATAATGCCATTTGCAGCAATATGGATAAACCTGAAGACTGTCATTCAAAGTGAAGTGGGCTGGAAAGAGAAAGAAAAATGCCGTATGACATCATTTATACAAAGAACCTAAAAATAATAATAATAATAAGGACATAAATGAACTAATTATTATTTTGATGTCTTGAATACGTGTAAGCATATTTGACTGTCCTTTATGACTGGATTACTGCATTCTGTTGTTTCTTATTTTGTAGTTGGCTTTATTCCTTTGATAAGTATGTAAGTTTAAAAAGCTTAAGATCTAATCTGTTCTTAGAAACAATGATCAGTACATATATGTAAACTAAAAAAATGTACAGTAGACCATCTATATGTATTCACATGCAATATAATGTGCATGTGCAGTCAAACTGTAATAATTCTACATAATAAAACTGGAAAAAAGGATACACACACACACACAAAGAACAGATATTAAAACTTCATTAAATTAAATTAAATTAAATGAAAAAAAAATACTCATTGACCCCTGGACTAGGAGCTGGGAAATCTAGACTGTGGTCCTGAACTCTCTGTGAGACTGATTTCTTGGTATTTCAGTTTACTTGGGTATAAAATATGATTCTTAATTGAAGTAGAATTACCACCTAAGAGTATTTGGAAATGCTTAGGGGGGTATTTTGTGTGGTTTGTTTGTTTTCATAGTAACTGGCAAGGTGGGGGCACACCTGAAATTTAATGGGTAGGACCAGACCTTACAATGGCCTGAGATGATGATTCCACGCATCAGAGAACTGGCCTCCCAAATGGCCAAGAGTCTTGCCCTCTTGAGAAACAATGGATGGACTGAGCTCTAAACCCCTTTTTAAAACACAGATCGTCACTATTACTCATCTTCAATTCATTCAATGGACCCATAAAAAAGTCCCAAATCTCTGCCATGTGGCATTCGAAGCTTTCCAAAAACCAAGACAGAAGCCAAGTGGAAACTTCCTATCCTGGTCACACCAAACTAGTCACTGTCTCTCCACCTCCTCACGCCCACCTGGGCGCCTGCGCTTATGCTAAGCCCTGTGTGGGGCTGCTCTTCCTCTGCCTTTGTACTCAGTGAGGGTTTACAGATCTTTCCAGGTCTAGGTCAAGTATCTCATTTACAAAGTACCTTTCCCTGGCCTCCTTTGAACTTCTCTCTTGACACTCAGTCATACTCTAATTTCTCTTCTGACTTAACTCTGTGTGTATTTATGGCCTGGCTTCAAAAACAGAACGCAAATTTCTCCAGGAGCAGGGAGCCTACCTCATACGTCTTTGCATTTCACGGGGCTCAAGGCAGGTCATGCACTTAATCAATGTTTGTTGAACAAAATCACATCACAGCAAACACAATTAATATTCTCCCCCCCTCTCCTATTTTATACCCAGGTCCTCCTGTCTGCTCTGCCCATGGGCTGTGCGTCCTCACAGTAGGAGGAGCCAGGCATTTGTTTTCATAGAGGCTGGGTCTTTGTTTTCTCTGGTGTGCTGCCCCTAGATCAGATATCCTCTGCTCCCCAGCCTCTCTCTCAACTGTTTTTCTTGGTTTTCCCTCGTGTCAGTGCAAAGCTACCAGCAGAGAGAGGTGGGGCAGAGGGATGAGGGCTTTAAAACCCTGACGGACAGTCAGTTGGAGAGTGAATGAATTAGGAAGCATACAGAGAGCTGAGTGCCCTTTTGGCATCATGTGTAGTCTGTCTTGGCATTAATATTGATACTTTATCATGATAATGTGCCTTTGGGCTAGTTCATCATATCAAACAAATGTTTTAGGAAAGGTAATGCAAGGGGTTCTCACCTTCTTAATCTTGTTCACTCAACAGAAAGGTTTTTAATATTTAGATTTTCAGGTTCATTTCTTGTAAGTGTAATAGATCTGTGTGTTTAGGGGGTTTCATTGCATAATTGACATTTTTTGACTGATGGGGAATCTGTCTGCAGTACAGAGCTTCTTTTATCAGATGTAGTTACTCTATATTAGTACTGAAGTTACCTTATTATATTAAAGAACTCGGACATTTTAAAATTAAATTAAAATGGCATATTTCAAGCTGATGCGGAATTTGGATTTTATCCATGATCATGTCAAGACAATACATCTTGTATGTTCTGACGGTGCTATTAAAGTGAAGGGGACTATGCGTGTTGAGCTGAGAAGCTGGGGCGCTGCTTTTGTAGTCTGTGAACATGTCTGCTGCTGAGTGTCTGGTGTCTGGATAGTCCTGACACCACACAACCCTTGGGGGTATATAATACTCCCTCTCTGCATGGTCACATACACATTTATGTATATGCAGAGAGAGTTAACATGCTCTCAGCAGTATCAATACACCGACAACAAACTCTTCCTTTGAGACTCTTGTTTGCTCTCTGGAAACTGACAGAGTTGGCTGACAGGTGGATGGTCAGTTTCTGTTTCTCCTGGGATGTCCACTGTGGCCCTCACCGGAATGACTCTCTGTGGGGCCACGTATAGATATATATATATTTCTCTTCTTCCTCTACCACTTTTTTCATCTTTTTACCTCTTTGTAATCTAACTACAAAGATGCTTTATGAGAAATTATTTTATACGGAATTTTTCTCAGAGCCCGTATCTCCTGAGATCTGGGTGGTGTCTGTGAAAAGGAGGTATGGATAGATGCTTAGACAGACAAAAAAGGGTTTGCTTGTCATATTGTCAGGAACTAATCAGCAATGGAAAAGAGCTTTGATTTGAGAAAGAACGGGAAAGGGTACGAGATACAGAAACAGTCATTCAGAAAGACAAGGAACATGATGTTTAAGAAAAGTGGCAGCCTTTCACGTGGAATGAAAGACAATGTAAACCAGGAAGGTGGGAGGGTGGAAACAGAGTATCCACGTGGCCCAGGGAGCTCCCCCAGTTTTTAGTCCATGTTTATGCTACTGAAGTCTTCTCTGGGGTCTGGGGAGGGGCAGAAATTTAAAGGCAGTCACACACATGGCACCATAGTTCCGTGGTCTTGTAAGAAGGCACATGTGATCAGTAGCCCTGGGGAAGCACAGCCCCAGCCGTGAGTGCAGGGATGTCCCGACACTGCATTCCAGTTCCTTTCAACTGGATCGATTTCCAGTAGCGTGATTGTGCAGGACCAAAGTGAAGGCAGAAGGAAGGCCATCTGAAGATGGGTCTAGGGTGTGAAGTGGGTGCCCCAAGCCATCATCCATTATTCTATAGGGATCTGGACTCAGCTCAGCCCCTTGGGGAACGGGCATCCCCAGATCCCATCCACTCAGGGGTCGCTCTGGCCCCACCAGGAGAGGCAGAGCCGGTGGTCCTGTGGACGGTGGGGCAGGGGAGGGCGTGGCAGGGGGCTGTTACCTCTCCAGCGCTGTAACTTCGGAGTCTTTGGAGGTGCTGTCGGTGAGTCAGATGGTTGGGAAGACGACCATTCTGAAGAGGGATTCGGGGGTCAATGAAAGTGGTGGCCCGGCTGTTGTGGTCGACGAAGAAAGACTGCAGACAGACCAGTAAAGAAAGCACATCGCATGAGAACGAGCCACAGGGAAGCCCAGGCTGCAGCGGGGTGATGCTCCGGGGCTGGGTCATCATGTATGGGTCTGTCCCTCCTGTACATCTGCTCAAAACCGGATGGGAGATGGAGCTGGTGCTGCAGCTTATCCAGCAGTTCAACAAAGCAACGCCAGTCGCTGATGAACGCTTTACACTGTGGAGCTACGGAGCAGTGACCACCACACTTAACGTGGAAAATAAGAGGCATAGAGCCTTTGATGGATAAAAAAATAATTCTAGAAATTAATTTGTAGAGCATTTTATTTATTTTTAAAATAAATGCTCTTTTTTAAAATTATGGAATTAGCAGTCTCACTGGGAAAAAAACTTTAAATGGACAAAAAAATAGAAAGACGATAAATAACCCATATCATCCCAGATATTACAATGGAAAAGCAATCACTGAAGTATTTTTGTGGTTTTTTTCTCTTCCCATGCAAATATACATATATACATATACTCCCCGCATCAGCACCTATAATTTTGTTAAAAGATTTTTCACCTATTATTTTATAAGCATTTTTCTCAGTTATTAAATATTTCTTTTAACACGGAATTTTAATGAGTGTGTAGTATTCAGTTTGACGGATGCATAACAATTTCAGTACCCTCTAGCATTGAACATTTGACTTTTTTACTATTTTACAGTAATGTTTCAATTACCACTCTTGTACATAAGTCTCTGTGGCATGTCTGATTAGTGTAGATCTTCCAATTTATGACAAGGTCATTCTTTAAATCTGAAATGATCTCTCACAAAAGAGAAACTTAATCCTTTTTTTGTTTCTTTTGCAAAATCTTTTGTACTAGAAAGCAATCTTGCAAATGCTCTCTTTTGAACAAAATGTAATGTTTGGTAAAGATATCTTTGCCTCCAGTGACCTAAGCCAGTGCTGACTCAGAAAGGGTTGTTATTTCCAACAGTGTGGATGGGACTGAAATGATGCCCCCCGCTGCAATAGTGTGTCAGTTGCTCAAAAAGTGATGCCAGTGAAAAGCAAAAACTTGAGTAAAGAATCTGAATAAGAATGAATTGTGCGTGGAAAACCCCCCAACACTTATCACGAGATTTTAAACAGATGAGTACAAACTGAATGAATATCCAGTAAACGTGGACTTTAAAAAAAAATTACAGTTTAGTGGCGTTAAGTATGTTCTATTGTGTGGCCATTACCATGATTCATATCCTCAACTTTCTCATGTTCCCAAACTGAAATTATGCCCCCATGAAATAATACTTCCTCATTCCTACCTCCCCTCTAGATCCTGGTAATCTCTACTCTGTTTTCTGTTTCTATGAATTTGACTATTTCAGATAGCTCATATAGGATATATTTGTCCATTTATCTCACTCAACATAATGCTTTCAAGGTTAATCTAGGCTTTGTGCGTCAGATGGTCATTCCTTTTTGAAGGGTGAATAACATTCCATTGTTTGCATATAACACATTTTGTTTATCCATTCTTTTTAACAAAAGAATTAATATACGTTCCATTAACAGAAAAGTATTCAAATCCTGACTTACTTTGTCTACTGAATCTGTTGAACTGATGGTTATAATACACATTTTTCTACCATATTGTATTTCTTTCATTTCCTTTGTATTTCTCTTTTCTTTTTCTTTATATAATACGTATAAGTTCCTTGGCTCATATGGAATACATGATTACTGTATCTTTAATTGTGACATTGATTAATATCAAATCTTTCTCTGACCCCCTTATAATGATTCAGATTTCAACTCTCCTTTGTATGATATTAATACACCACCACTGATTTTTCTGTTATTGTTCTTGCATTATATTAACAGTGATTCTTTTCCTATTAAACTTTTGGAATCATTTCTTAGGTATGTCTTTTTATAAGCTGAATTTGTTTGCCATCAGATCTGATAGTTACCTCCTTTCGGTATGTAAGTTTATCCCGTTTCCACCTGCTGCCACAACTGTCATGCCTGGCTTTACTTTTGTTATCAGAATTCCCTTGTTTTTTTAAGGCTAAATAATATTCCATTGTATGCATACACCCCATTTCCTTTATCCAGTCATCCATCAACAGACATTTAGCTTGTTTCCAACCTAACCCAACCTAATCTCTTGGCCATGTGAATAACTGCAAAGAACACAGGAGTGCAGATGTCTCTCTGAGATTGTGACTTCAGGTCTTTTGGATCAATACCCAGCCTGGGATTGCTGGATCCTCAGCTACTTCTGTTTTCTTATGTCTGCTTCCTCTTGACTTGTTTTCTGTTTGTAGCTGCTTCTTCTTGCTCAACAGAAGTCATATGCTCCTGTGCCACTTTGCAGATGACAAGCAGATGTCTTTAAAAAATTCATTTCTCTTTTCTGCAGGAATTTCTAGGAGATATGCTTTTTCTCAGATAAAGATTCTGTTTCCTTCAGGTAGAAGTAGAGGCCACTTCTCATTCTGCTGTTACATGTTCACTCTGCAGTAGGGGCTGCCTCTGTCTCGTGCCCGCCACCCGCAGCCCCGCCACCTCTCTGGGTGGTAAGTCTCCTCGCCTCCGCCCTGGAGCCCACTGGGGCTCACACGCAATCTCTCCTGAAGTTGAGTGGGGGCTGTGTCCTCCTTCCTCGGATTTTCAAGATGACAGATGAGTCAGATGTCATGTTGTCCTCCTTGTTGGGATGACCATGCATTCAAAGATACCAAGCAGCTTAGCCCACACGGTGCATGCTGCAAGTGAAGGCTGGCATCTCTGAGTATGTCAAGAAAACAAGAAGCAGACTGGGCGAGTGAGGAACCAGAAGATGACTTAGAGTTCTAGAATCCTCTCTGGCTGCCTATGAAGAAGGTTTTTGCATAGAAGACTATCACCACACCATACTCCACTGTCATTCTCCCAGTCGAAGCCACATCCAGTAAACAAGAAAGTCCCGGGGAACAGATTCTGGCTCTGGTGGCTTTTCTCCTACACAGGGTCTCCCCGCAACCTGCCGGTTCATCCCCGACCACAGAGCTGGTCATAGAGATTCACTGAACTGCAGACTTGCATTAGTGGACACCATCTTCTCACACATACTCCAGAGAGTCGAGGATCTGGGGCAGCCTAAGGGGTTTGTAGGGGACGGATTTCTGGCTCCCAGAGCACAGTGACGCCCCATCAGGCCACTCTGGGAAACTGTGGCTTTGCATGTGCACAGTCACAGAGGAAAGGAGCTGTGTGACGCAATTTCCCACTGAGACACGTGTCTGCTGGTAACACTTCTGATTCCTTTGACACTAAAAGAGGGACGGATTCTGTCTCCCCAAATTTGTAAAAGATCACACGGGGACAGTTCTCTAGTACACTGTTTGGCTTATCCTACAAATACACTGAGATGACTGATGGTGGTTAAGAGAAAACATTCTCATTCTTGCCTTCGTAAACTCAGCTAGGCTCCTAAAGCATCGCTGGGAAAGACCAGCTTTGGTCAAGGTCACACAAAAGCAAAATGTAAGCCAGTAATATTACGTGAGCCCAATTCACCGTGTCCCTGTTTGCCAGGCTGTTTTCACGAGAAATGAAGGCTTATTAGGGAAACCACAATGAGTAATCTAATAATGTCACTCCCATTGAACTAATGATTTCATTCCTTGAGAGGGAGTTGTCTAGGAGGCAAAACAATAGAAAGGTCATTGAACAGAATTGGGTTTCAAGTTCCAAACCTAAATTTAAAACTATGTAGCCCATTGTTCTCAGCTGGTGTGATATTCCCCCTCCCCCCACCACACACATACACCAGGGGACACAGAGCAATGTCGCAACGTGGTGGCACCAGTGGGCGGAAGGCAGGGATGCTTGGAAACACCTTACACATCACAAGATAGAGACCCGAATGCAGATGGTTACCCCTCCCTTCCTCCCGGTGGCCAGGCTTTCCACTCCTCATCAGCCTCCCTCCTCACTTGCTCACTGGTCTTTTCCTTCAGGGGAAAGAGGCCTTTTGATGTGAGACCCACTCAGTAGTCACGCTCACCTTTCCCTGCTGGTCCGTTTTGATCTCCCAGCCCCGGGGCAATTCCAGCCGCGTGTCTGCGAACATGTTGATGAAATTCACCAAGTCCCGGTTGTGCTGGTAGCGTTCGAAATTGCGCGCGTCCCGCCGGACTTTCAGGATCATGTGCTTTAAGCAGGTGCTACTGGTGAAGACTCGGTAGGCACTCTGAGACGGGGTCAGGCCGATCGGGGAAGGGAGTGGGGTTTAGGAGAAACACAGACCAAGCACACTTTGAGCACCTTAGCAGGCTGCAATATGATGGCTATGCAGAAATTTGCTGTGAGCCTTGATGGGGAAGACTCAGGAGCAGAGATCTTGCTGGAGAAGTAAACGCCTGTCCACCACAAACATATATGGACCTGTTTGCCATCCTGAATCCACCTGCTGCTCCTGCAGCCTAGGACACTGCCAACCTTCCTGCATCTCAAAGCTCCCCTCCTCCATCCTCCCTCTCCTGCCTCCCCTCTCCCTCTGCCTCAGCCTCTGGAGTCCCCCTCTGCCTCTCTGAGCATCGCTGCCCCCTCTCCTCCCTGGTTCCTCCTCTGACTGCACAGGTCCACCCTGGCTCCTCTCATCTGTCTATACAACAGGGAGTCAGGTCCCCTGGGGATTTCAGGCTGGACTTCAGAGGTCTACCACTCCTCTGAGCCTTATGCAAAAAACTTATGTGTGTGGATGGATTGGAGGCTGAGAAGAAATGAAAGTTTCAGGCATTTTTTTATGCTACCAAGGGCTGGTGTGTGTGGATAAAGGAAAGGCTGCCGGCAGTCAGAGCAGGCCAGGGCAGGGGCTTGTTCTGTCCCAGGGCCATCTGGTGCCTGGAGCTGAGGGCATCACTCTCTGGCATCCTTGTCCCCCTTTGTGACTCAACCCTGCACCACTGGGCAGCTGCTCTAGGTCTAGCCATCGGATGTCCCAGAGGCTTCTCAAATATAACTGGTGACCTCCTCTGCCTCCCACAGCCTCCATCCCTCATCAAACTCCTGCACCTGCTTAGTGGGGCACCACCACCTACCTCAGGGGGCCCGACTCAGAGACGACTCGGACTTTCTTGAGTCCTCATCGTCCATGCCTCCTCAATCACAGTGTCCCAAAGCATGACTGATTCCACCCAGAACTCTCTGCTGAGCCGAGTCCTTCTTTCCCTGCTCTCAGCCCCTTCCTTAGGGCAGCCTTTCCTCACCTCTCACTTGAGCCTCTAGTCTTAGCCCCCCTCACTCTCTCTCCTGCACTTCTGCCAGAGAAAATGATGTCGCAAACATGCCGATCATGTGACACTGGTGCCTGAGACGGCTGCTGGTTCCTGTCGCCTACAAGGTAGAGCCAGGCTTCTCTCCATGATATAGCAGGCAATTTGCTCATTCTCCGTCTCCTCTTCCCACCTCTGCCTGTCACCACGCTCCAGGCCCACTGGCCCATCACAGCTGCATCCTCTCCCCCATCATGCCTGGACCATCCGCCCCGCCCACTTTCAACCTTCCAGACTCCATTCAGCAGCTGCCTCCTTGGGACTGCTCCCTGAGTTTCCAGAGCACACCTGTGTTCCCGGAGTATCTTGTTCCTCCCTGAGGTCAGGCCCCGTCCTGTCACATTAGACTCGTCTTTTTGCACATCTCTTGCTCCACAATATGGGAGTTGGGGGGTGGGGGGAGTCCTGGCTATTCAGACATCACCCTAATCTGTCCTTATGACTTTATTTAGCTCCTAGATCTGTGCCTGAACCACAGGAAATGTTTGTTAACTGAAAGAAATAATGACTCCAGTATTAGGTCACTGCTGTCTTGATAAAATATCAAAAAAGAAAGAAAAAAAACTACCAGTGTAAAAATCACATCAAATTTACCTTAAGCAGGCTATTTGAAAAAACTGATTATATGAAAAGGAAACCTAGTTATTTATCTATTTAAAAATCTCTTTCATGGAAGTGATTTTATCAAACGATTCAGGCTGAAGGGTATCTGTCAACTTCATCCTCTTGTTCCTTTAAAATTGTGAAAATACATGTTTGTTTCCAAATCACTTGCACCGACATGAACACATGTGAAGCCAACAGAAACCAAAGAAGCAACAGCATTTCCAAATCCAGCTTTTCTCCCTATTGGGAGGCTCACAGAGAGCGAAAAAAGAGGAGTGGTTTTACTCATCTTTTTTCTTTTCTTGATTTGTTTCCTTTCCTGGGTTATAACGCTATCCTCTTTAACCTATCAAATGACTTTGCAGAGCTGTGTTTGGGGTCTTGCCGGAAGCCGGGCCCCGCCCCCTCTGCATGCGGGACACTCACATAATTGGCGTGCAGCACAGTGAAGAACTCGGGGTTGGTGATGAACTTGACCGCCGGGGACTGCAGCAGCAAGGTGATTTTTTGTGAGTTCACTGGAGAAAGCGACCCATCTCGCCTCAGATCTGGAAAAAGTGAAGCAAAGCCACTGAAGGCACTGGGGAAGAGATTGTTTCCAATAGAGTACTTCCCTGTCCACGCCAGCAACACACAAGCCTTCACCCGCGCAGCGGGAGCAGAAGGTTGTTTTGAACAGTGATCTGAGCGGGTGTCACAGTGACCTGAGCGGGTGTCGCACGCAGTGATGGGGTCAGGTGTCCTGTCTTTGTGTCAGTTATGAATCATTATTTCCTAGGAGTGCTCTTGTATAACTTGTTAGGCTCAATCCTGAGCATCACGTCCCTTTGATCTCACGACATTTTTCTTACTTTCTTTATAATTGTTGACCACGGTTGTGATAGACTGTTTGCAGAAAGGGCCACAATTCCCCTCCTCCCTGCATCCCCAACAATATGGTCCTTGGTAGCGTCTCCTTGTTGAACAGAGCTGGCTTTGTGCTTTGCGTAACAGAATCTGCCAGAGGTTCTGAGCTAGAATGTTGAGGGCCTGTGTGTCCCCACTCTTTCTCCCTCATCACATGGGCTGTGGCCTGTACAAGATGAGAAGCCATGGGGAGCAGGGACAAGCCCCCCCCCGGCTGAGGACACCTCAGCCCAGCCAGCCTGAGGCTGATTCCACAGCTGTCCAAGGATGCTTGTGTGAGCCCAGCAGATCTCGGTTCAAACTGCCTACCTTCAGAACTGGGGGACAAATGCAGGGCTGTGAGCCTAAGCTATTAAGCTTTGGGATGCTTTGTTACACAGCAAATGCCAGCAGATCCAACACCAAACCCAGAAATAAATTTTCTGTGTCTTTAATACTTCACCGCTCTAACCCCCTCTCTCTCAGAGGTCAAATAAAGAACTTGATAACAGAAAACCTAAACTAGTCAGTTTAGTTAGCATAACTAGTAAAGTGAAAAAACAGGCAATTAAAATGGTTGGTGGATCTGTGTCTTTGGAAGCACATGCCCGCTGCTCAGACTATTTTACAGCTGTCAATCGGCCACCGTTAACCCAGTTGAAAAAGAAACTGGATGGTTAGGATGTCACTGTGATAATCTAAGGCTACTACAGGTAGAAAAAAACAGAAGCCAGTCTCTTCAAAGAAAACAAACTTATGGTTACTCAAGAGGGACAGGGGAGAGGAGGGATAAATGAGGAGTTTGGGATTAACAGATACACACCACTATGTATCAAACAGGGAACTACATTTAACATGTTGTAGCAACCTATAATGGAAAAGAGTCTGAAAAAAATAAATATATATAGGACTGAATCACTTTGCTGTACATTTGAAACTAGCAAACATTGTTAATCAACTATACTTCAATAATAATAATAATAAAAGAAACATCCAGTTTCTTCCGCTTTTTGAATATTCTCATCGGAATTAGACTCCGGCAGATTCAAAGAAATGGACACCAGACCCTCGTGGATACGGATGGGATTTGGTACAAACACCCCCAGGTGGTACGTAACCATAAGCTGGCCGGAAAACCTCTTTACTCCCTGGTTCCTCCCTCAGCGGGGATTGTGTTTGAGTCAAAATGCCAACAAAGTATTATTCCTACTGTTGTCATGTGGCTCCTTGGAAGGAGACCGTGAATTCTTATTGCATGTTTTATTTATAAGTGGAAGCAATCCTTAGGACGCCAACAAATCAATGTCCTCAGCAAGAAATGCTTAAGCCACCAACACACTGACCTTGATGCATGGGTACTGAAACTTTTCACAAGTTCTCTGCACTGTGAATCCGTTTCTCCTTTACATCCCTGGTGGGAAACCTCTGTCCATTTTACCCTGTGGGTGCTAAGCCTCTTTGGGACCTCACGCACCCCGTTGCTCTCTTCACCCCAGGGTGCGTGCCCCCTCCGAGGGGCAGGGTGAGGGGCTCCCACACTCAGTCAACACAGCCACTGGAGGTCAGCCCTGAAGCCTGGCCCCTCCTGCCATACCTAAGGTCGACTGAGAAGATTCAGCCTCAGAGTCACTCCCACCACCTCCTCCTGCTGGGACTTGCTCACAACTCTGACCGCCAGGATCTTCTTCGGGCCTCTCTGTAGCAATGGTTCGCTGGATGTTTTGATACCTTTGCGGCAGAAGATGGAAAGACAGGAGTTAACTTTGGTCTGTTGGCTTCTTGGGAGCTAAGGCTCTGAATTAGGTAGGGGGGGAAATCTGCAAAGAATTGTCTTGGATGTCAAGAAACGTCAGTAAAGAACCGTTCAAAATCCCAATAACATAACCCAAGACAATCAGCAAGACAGGTATCTCTGGATGCTGTGGCTTCTTTTTGTTTTGTAAGCTGACTTAAAAAAAAATCAACACACACACACACACACACACATATACACAAAAACCAATCATAAAAAGTCTCTGCCCTGCATTAAACGAAATTGGTCTACGTCTAAAACAACGGTGTGGGATGGAACTTAAAATGTTACGGCAAAGATATCAAATCACCTCTGCTTGTTTGTGATAAGTCTACAAACTAGAACAACAGTCTTACACACTTGTCATTTGACAGGGAACTGACAGGACCGGCAGGGGTCATGCAAAGATTACACTAAAAACACACTGGCAGACACGTAAATGCTTCCTGCTTATTTGAAGGTTCATTTGATTTTTCTTCCCAAGTTAGGGCATTAATCAGTGGGTCAGCCGATCAGTCCTCTCACCAGGTACTTACTAAATATTTGCTAACTCTTCCCACGTGCCCGGGTTCTGTGCTGGACTTGCAGATCAGAGAGAAGTCTAGGATAGGATCTTGCCCTCTGAACACTCACGGACAGGATGGAACAAAGAAGGGAGAGGCACGTACACCGTGGTGACTCTAGCGACATGAACAAGCTGCCCTGGGTGTGTAAGAGGTGTGAACACAGACGAGCAAACACCGGAGGTACACGTGTTCTCAAGGGAGAGAATGGACTTGCCGGGGAGCTCGCAGGGAAGGAAGACAGAGAAAAGAACATGTGTAAGACTTCAGTTTGGAGAACTTTGAGAAGTCTGAGAACCAAACTCCTCTTTAAGGTCAAGGAAAGAGGGCACTGGTACAGAAGATCTTGTGTGTGTAAGAGTGTGTCCCCATGGCCCGACCTTGGATTGTACCCAGCTATTCACTGCTACTTGGACTCACCCTCCTTTTCCTATTCACACCCCTTTCTCCACCCTCACATCTCTTCCTTGAGCACTAGTCCCACATAGCCACATTCTCCTGGCTACTGTCACTTGTGTGACCTCAAGGACTTCCAAGTCAACCTGCCCAAATCCACACGAAAGTCTTCCCGCCAACCTGCCCATCCTATGTGCTCTTTATCCGGCACCTCCACCCACCTGCTCTAAGTGGAAACCTTGAACTTCACAGTCGTCTGCTCCCTCTTCTTCAACCTCCATATCCAGTCAGGCCCCCAATCCTATTGCATCTACATGTAAGATTATTACAAATTCTGTCACTAAAGAGCTCTTGAATTCGGCCCCTTCTCTCATTGCTGCTGTGCTGGCGGGGGAAGCTGAACCCTCATCGTGGGCCTTAACAGGCTGAGGTGACGGGCAAAGTCAAGGTCAGATGGGGAGGAGGATGGGAATTTTACACGGAGGAGGAGGTGCCGGTTCTCAGGTCTCCAGACCACTTGCAAGAGAATCATTTGGGTGACGGCTAGAATGAAAGAAATTGGGGCAAAATTGCAATCTGCATAGATAACATCAAACTTAAAGAGAGCTCCAGACCAGTGGTTCTCAGACAGAGGTGTATAAAATACTTTAAAATATAATTATTGTCTATTATCTACAATAAAGTATTATCTACACCTATATTTGAGATTCACTGGTCTGGGGCTTTCTTTAAGTTTTATTTTATCTAAAGTGACTTAGCCACTCCCTTCTGATGCCTGCCAGAGGATAACTTTGCCTCCAGCAGTGACTGTGAGGCATTCCTGATGACGGCTTTTATAAGAAAATGTGGAAGGAGGTAAGAGTAAGCAAGGAACCGTGGAGGGAAACATGTGTGTTTATTTTCCCTCCACGGTAGGGAGGTTGGTGGGGAAGGTGCAGGCTGTCTGTCCGTGGTGCTCTCCCTGCTGGGACTCAGAGTGCAGCCATGGAGGGTGGGAGACAGAGTAGGCCAGTGAGAAGCTGCCTAAGCGTGTAGCCTTAACCTGGGGATGGACAACCTTGACCTGGGAGAGGATGACCTTGACCTGGTCTTCCAAAGACCAAGGAAGCCACTGTTGGAGGATTTCCCCCAAGTGGCTCAAGGCAGGTTGCATTTTCCAAAAATGGCCCAACAACATTTTTCATGAGGTCCCAACCAACAGTCAACAGCCAACATCAACCCCCAGGTATGTGAGTCTCAGCTCAGCCACCATCTGACTGCAACCCTGAGATACCCCAAGGGAAAATGAACCTAAGTCAACAGTCCTAAATCTCAGGTGCTGGACCCCACCCCTGCCTGATGTGCATGGAAGTAAGACACACAATGGTTTGTGGAAGGTCCCCAGCAAGGGCAGGGCTGCAGCCTCAGAGGTTTTCTCTGCTTTAACAACGAGAGAGGGAGTCAGGGAGCTGGTCCTCTTCTATTTCATCAAGAATTAGCCTTCAACATCCCCCTTCACAATTTTTTTCTTTTTGCAGCCAAACGTTAAACAGTCACATGATATAGAGTTTATGGAAATATAGTAAGAAAGTCAGCTGGAATGTCGAGTTTGGAAACGGACATGCATACATGTGCACACACACAGAAGAACACACACACATACATACAACCAAACCAGAAGAAAAGAACTTTTCCAAAAGTAAAGCAAAGTGAAGCAAACCCAATTAACCAAGCCCACACAAACAGACAATTCTCATGAGAGGAGTCAAAATTGGTAAAAAAAAAAAAAAAAAAAGCTCATAGAAATAGAATTTGACCCTCCCTCCCAGAAATGAAATGTAAGAAGCACCAAAGTACCAGGAGTACCACTTAAGTCAGCAAAAACACACCAAAAGCGAAGACGGAAGGGAGGCTGTGGCTGTTGGCAGCGTGAACCCACGGAAGCACCTTAGAGAACATTTAAGCATTGATGCCAAATTCGAAAACCATGTGGCTCTCCCTCGGCTGGCCCTTTTGGGAAGATAACCTTAAGGAAACTCTCTAAGATAATCCCCATATTTTATAGGCCTTGGGGCTTTATTCAAAACAGTGATTAAAAGCAATAAGCAAAACATCTAACAGTGTGGCAAATTAAGTGAACTAAATTACATCCATTCATTGGAATACTATACAATCATTTAAGTGATAATCTTTTTAAAGATTAAAGTTAGTTTTGTTTCGGGGAGGTAATTACTTTTATTGAATTATTATTATTGTTGTTATTATATTTCTATTTAAAGGAGGTGCTGGGGATTGAACCCAGGACCTCATGTATGCTAAGCAAGCATTCTAGCACTGAGCTATACCCTCTGCTCAGTGATAATCTTAAGATTCTGTAGCAATATGGAAATTTTTATCAAGCAGTAAGAGAAAAATGAATATGAAACTATACGTTATCATTATAACTATACAAGGGCTGTGCCTATAGCACTTAAAGTTAGTTAAATTTTTTTTTAAAGCTAATTCTTGGGGACGTAAGATTGTAAGATCTTCTTTCTTCCTATTTAAAACTTCCATTTCTCAATGTTATCATAATTTTATCCAAATAGCTAAAAAATCAAACTTGAGTAGATGGTTTAAAATGAGAATGTACATTTGTATTTTTGGCTGGTTCAATAAATATTTGCGAAGGTTGAATTAGCTCGCGATATTCTGAAAGGAGAGGAATGAACTCGGGAGATGGTCTTGGACTGAGTCCTGGTAAGCCCTGACCGCACACAGGCACTGGGAGGGGGGACACAGAGGATGAGGAAAGAAGGTGAGGAGGGTACCAGGGGCTGGAGAGGAGGCGGCCACGGGCTTTGTGCGGAGGGATCTGGGAGGGGAGGTCGGGGTTCGGGGGCCACGTGACGTTTAGATTGGGCCTCGGCAGGATGGAGATGCGTGCCCGGTGGAAGGCAGGCAACGAGGGGCCTCCCTGCCGTGGGAGCAGGTGGCGAAGCCACAAGGACCACTTGGGGACACCACACGCTCCTTCCTGCTCTCCACGTGCCACAGTGTGCGCCTCTTGGCACAAACACATTTTGCTTCTCACAATCCCCCTTATTAGGAGTCAAGGGAAACTCTTCCTTGCAACACAGAAACATTTCCTAGGTTGTCGTCAAATGGCGTGATGGTTGTTAATTTCTGCCGGTAACTGCAAGTTACTAAAAGAATGACCGCTGTGTGGGACCCCGTCTGCAGTGGATCAAGGACTGACAGCATCCTTTGTCGGACCGCCATTATCAGCCCAAATCGCCGGAAAACTTTAAAGGCCTGAAAGCGACAGGTTAAGAGAAGTATTGAAGAGCCTGGATGCTTCTCTCAAGGTTAGCGGACCTCCCCTAGATAGATTTTCTTTTCCCAAGAAATATGCACATTCTCAAATCGTTACATTCCCTTTGCTTTTATCTGTCCAGATGGAGACAGGAAATACAGCTGCCCATTCGGCAAAGTCTGGCCTCAAAGTCCAGCACGTTTATCGCCACTGGGGGGCACAGGATTTACACATCAAAGCCTGCACAACTTCTCTAGAGGCCTGGTTCAGGATGGATTTGACCTCATTTTTATATGATACAACCTGAGTGCTGTGAACGTCCATGGATTTTAATGTCAGGGGCCAAGGTGTTTACTTCTGCTTCTGGTTGACTGTTGAACAAGTTCAGCTTAGCTGTCGGGCAAGACAGACTTCGAGGCTATTTCTGCCTGTGGCGTCTCAACAAGGTCTCTATGTAGAATGAGCCTTGCTGTGTCCTCTGCATTTGCAGTTGGAGTGTTGTTGCAATCACCATGAAAGGGCTCTGCCAGGGATCTTGGCGCGTTTCTATCTAATAAAACTGGGTTATCATGAAGTCCTTCCTTGTAATAAGTTTTCTTTCCATGGGAGTGACTGAAAAGAAATACACTGCCGATGAAAATACTTTACAGTTCTCACGAACGACTTAGACACTCGGCTACTGATGGGGGAAAAATGGAAAGCCAGTATCTTCCAATGCGCAAGCCATAAAAGAATCCTGGTGATTTTCACCTAAAGCATCCTCCTCTGTGGACAATAGTAACCAATTTTCTGTTTCTGTGTATTTTTAATGGGATTAAATTGTCCACATTTTTTTTTTCTGGAGGATACAGTTAACCTTCAAGGGACATCTGTTATCATAGTGGTGTGCCCCAAACACAGTTATTTCTTCTTTTTCAGTCCCTCTCCGCCTTTCTTTTTTGTTTCACACTAACAAGACGGCACATGGGTACAATCAAAACTGAGCCCTCAGCCTGCATTCCTGGCTACTAAAGGTATCCCAAAGCCACCACGCTGGCCTTAAAGAATCAAGAGGTTGGATGTGACACTCATATTCACTTACAGCATGGAGAGATGCTATTTTGGGTTTCACGTGCAGGTCGAAAACAAAATGACATCTTTACCTACTTCCTAAAAACGAGTAAGGGGTCTAATGTTAGACAAAACAATTCTCAAAAAGTGTTTTTAAACATTTCTTTTTCTTTGGATTTTTTTTGAGAAGTTAAACTTCTTTTTTTTTTGGCTAGGGAGGTAATTAGGTTTATTTATTTACTAATGGAGGTACTGGGAATTGAACCCAGGACCTCATGCGTGCCAAGAAGTCACTCTACCGCTGAGCTATACCCTCCCCGCTAAACATTTCTCTTTCCACGATGAAAGCTTTTTAAGAATTCATATCTTGGAGCAGATAGTGACTGTGGGACCAGGGTAGGCATGGAATGGAGCGATTTATAAGACAGCCTTTTCCCCAGGCAGCTTTTAGTATTCTGTTAAACCCATCCTTGGAATGTCCTCAACTGCTTGGGTTCTGAACCCGTTTGAAAATCTTATGACAGATATGGAAGAGTCTGGCAGACAAAGTGTGCATCCGTGTATAATTGTGCACAGTTTCTGGAGGGTCCCTGGAACACTGACACCCTCAGTGAATACCTGGGTGAGGCGTGCCCCACGGGCCCTTGGCTAAGAACACTTGTTTCCGAGCCTGGACCATCAGGAGGTACAGAGGATGCCCCATCTTTAAATGACACTTTGTCTCCTGCCGCCAAATTCTAAGTCTAGCTTTCCAAGTGCTGAATGTGAGTGGGTTTCTTAAGATACGTAATTGCTTTGCATTTTCCTCATGCAGCCTGAGCAGAAAAGCCTAAGAGGGGGTTTCCTTGGCGGCCCTTCTCCTTTCACGGGTTTACAGGGGCTCACTGCATGCTGGTCACCAACCGCCGGTTGAGTTGCTCCATCTGCTGGACGGACCCGGATCTCCGCATCCCGTCGGGGGTGGCCGCTGCTGTGGGGCGCTGCCAGGTGGTCGTGCGGTTCACGTGGTCCACGTAAAAGACCCGCCCGTGGCTGTCAATGCGGGCTTCCCAGTCTAGCGTGTAATAAAAAGGCAAAACGAGAAATCAAGGCCAGACCACTGGTCCACGTGACACAGACACCCTTTCCAGGTTCTGCAGGTAGAAAGAACTCACCACTGGTTACTTGCTGAAGACCAGACACTGCCACTGCCCAGGGCACCTGCCTGACTCCTGAGGCACCGGCATGGCATGGGCATCCCAGAAAAGAGCCCCCGGGGCCAAGCGTATCTGCTGGGCCATTTTAACCAGTAACCATGGTTCCTCCACTATGACCTATGTTAAAATTCTAATAATTTCTAAAGAGAAAGTCTAATGTTTCATTTATTTCCTTCTTTAAAAAGTTCCATCCCATCAATTTTCTCGGCTACTCGAATGGCAGCTGGAAGACTGGGAACCTCCTCCACGGAGGGCTGACACCGTGAGGCTGGGAAAACTCTTTCTCTGCTAAATCTGATGGCGGACGACTGGTCAGGAGGGAATAACAGCTCTCGTACTAAAACCAGTTTGAGCTACAGTTCTAGAAAACTCTCCGGGCAGCTTTGAGGACGTCTGCCTGATACTGAGCGACCTTAACTGACTGCCATTCCTCCTAAGAAAGAGAATGGAAAGATTTGATACTTGGGGTTTCAAAGCATCCTTTGATAAGTTGTGAATTCACAGTATACAGTCACCCACCCGTGGCTACCAGATCTCCCTTGACCAACAAAACAAAACCAATCACTACTTTTAACTAGCAGTTCAGCTTTTAAATCTCTCTTGGTTGCTCAATCACCAACCCAAACAGTAGGGGGAGCCCGAGGTAAAGACAAACTGCTTTGCTTCTCAAATTTCAACCACAGCAACAGAGTGAAAGGCGGGAGTGTAGATGACACAGTACATGATACATGTAGGGGGCTGGGCTGGGGGGACAGGATGAAAAAGTCCTCAAAATGCGGAGAGCTGGGTTGTATGTACACATCTGAGAGGAGCAGTGTCTGCTGCATGGAAATGGGCAAAGCTTTTAGAGTCCACGTGTAAAAATGTGGTAGAAACACAGGTTCATGATAAAGTTATGCCGAAAAATGCATTAGACTGAAAAAGAAAAAGCAAAAATGACTGCAAACAAGGAAAACCATTCAGCCTTTTAAGTGAGAAAAGCCATAGCTTTTGGGAGTAGGTCAGATACTCAACAATTCTATTGAAACAGTATTGTTCAGGTAATGACATAGCAACTCCTGATTTTTTTTTTAATTAAAAATTCAGTATGTTTGGTGTATTTTTGGTTTGATATGTACATGATGGTTTATCTGTTTGTGAATATTATGGCTTTGTCTGACATCTTCTAGAGGAATTGCCAAATAATGCCCAATGAAAACTAAAATACCAGAAAACATCCAGTTCAGCTTACAGGACAGACTGAAGAAAAAAGGTAGTCAGATTGTATAAATATATTCTAGGAGATTCTGATTACAATTGATGACTGGATAATCCAGCTGTCAACTGTTAGTTGTCAGTGTTAATTAGCTCATTGATGAAATTGTGTATTTGTATGACTACAAGGTAATTAATCCTGATCGAAAAATGTTAAAATGTCAAATTCCCAAACTATAGCAATTGGGCAGTTTTTTCCTTGAGCCTAACTTGACTGTCATCCAACAAAAAAATGAGCATTAACCTTTGAAAAGTAGCTACTCGACTGAAATGAACAAACTCCTCTTAGCACTATGTCAGGTCCCGAGGACACACTGCTGAGTAACACACATCCCTGCCCTCCAAGTGCCCAGAGTAAAGGAAGGATTTCCGCAAAGACAAAGCTCCAGTCTCAGAGATTCTCCAAGGGAAAAAAACTCGAGTATGGTGCAGCGATAATAAAAATTTCTCCCTATGTGTTTCAGTATTTCCAAATCATTTGAAAAAGGATGGTGAGCCAAACAGACAGGTCTTTTTGTCAATACATTAAATACCTGGAATGTAGCATGCTAATGATAACTCTTATAAATATTCAGAAAATAATAGCTAAGCGTAATTGGTGATTCTAAGTGTGTTTTCTGGGTGTCTTTGTCAAGAATTTACTTTCACCTACCATAGAAACCATATTGCAGAAAGAAAAAATGTATGAATGGAACTTCAGGCCTCAGCATGTCCAATGGACTTGATACTATGATGCCAAAATAGACCCCTGAAAATGATAAATTTACAGATGGCATTGGGGTAAGTCGGAGTCATTCATTTGTGTCAATTCGTTTGTGACCGAGGGACCTTTCAAATATGAAATTACATATTTCCATGAAGTCTAAGAACAAGGTAGTGCTTAAGAATCTATCTTATTTTAATTATTACACTAACAAAAGCCTGGAAAGTTGTATTTTTTTTTCCCACATTAACAAATGCAATACCATATTGTGGTCTAGATCTTTCTCCTGAACTTCAGTCACATCTCATTGCCTTCTTGACATCGATACCTGGATGACGTGTCAAATATGACATGATCAAAACCAAGCTTCAGATCTCTCCCACCCACACCTGCTCTACCTGCAGCCTTTCCTTTCCATCTCCGTTAAAGTCAGCTCCATCCTTCTAGGGTAAGACTCTTGAAGTCATCTTGACCCTTATCTTTATCTCCACATCCCATCCCATCTGTCAGCCAATCTACCCACAAAATATCTGTTCAGAATCTGACTCTCCTCACCCCTCTGCCTTCGCTCCCCACCCCAGCCCAAGCCACCACCGTTTCTCACCCGGGTCATTGCAACAACCTTACCTTGGGTCTCCTGCTTCTATCTTTCTGCCTCATGATTTCATGCCAACACAGCAACCACGGAAAACTTTTTAAAACCTAGGTCAGACAATGTGTCTTCTCTGCTCGAAAAACGACAATGTTCCCCCTTCATCCAGAGTAAAAGACTGTTAGATGATCTACAAGACCCTATGAGATCTGGAGCCCTGATAGACTGACTCGTTCACCTGCAGCTTTCTCCCCTCCTAAATCTGCCCCAGACGCACTGATTTTCTTGCTGTTCCTCACATCGACCAGGCAGGCTCTTCTCTTTACTCAGAAAGCCCTTCCTGCCCGATGCCTGCATGGATAACGCTCTCACCTCCTCTCCGGCTAGCTTCCAATATTGCTTTCTCAATGAAGCGTATCTGCTGCCTTATTTAAAATGACCAACCAGCCACCACCATACGCTCCAGATCCCCTTTATCTTCCTCTGCTTTCATTTTTCCACAGCACTTAACACGCTGCACTATTTCCTCATTGATTCTCTTTACCGTTTATCATCTGTCTCTGCCAGTCTAGACCGTAAGCTCCTTGAGGGCAGGAATCTTTGCCTGTGTTGGCTTAGCTAGAACAGCCCCTCGTGCAGAGTAAGCATTCAATCAATAACTGTTCAGTGAATAAATATGATGGAGTGGTGGAGTCATCTGTGTACTATTTGAAATTATCTAAAAAAACTCAGTTGTTACCTTCATTCCTAATTTTTCAAATATTTTTCAGAGTCACATGGACAGAAAATTAAAGCCTATCTGGAGAAATTTGTTTTTGTTATCCAAAGCAGTAATTCTTTAAAATGGACTTCTATTCGATTATTTATAATATCTGTATGTATAACTGGATATTACTCTGGCATGGATTGAAGGTCAGTTTATGCATGTACCCATTGACAGGTTTTTTGTTGTGGGGAAAAATGTTCCTTTCTTGGAGAGAACATGTTATAGATATTTTTTTAAGTAGGAAGTGGGGTCTATGGTTGACACAGAAATGTTACTATTCATCGGTGGAATATCCACAAATCAGTGTATAAAGAAAGAGCCCAGGCAGCAAAAGTTAAAGGGTATAATGTTTGGCTTGGCCTCTCAAAACAAACATGGTGTTCCTTAAATTAGTCTACCTATTAAAGACACTGTTTTATCACCGACAAATTACAACGGGAGAATGGTGTAAATGTAAAATATATCCCATGACCAAGAATAGACGAGTTAAGGAATAAGCATTTCTTCTTTCAAAAACTGTAATGGCTTAAAGTAAACGCAGGCAGAAGAATGTGAAGAAACATTGATTCATTACATCCTGGAAAGATCTTGCCATGGTAAAATTTGTCACGTTTTAAAGGTGATCTTTGCTTGAAACATGAGCCCAAACCAAAACAGGGATGTTCTAGAATTCGGGAACGCCTGTGATGCTAAGTGAATGCATAATGTCTGGGGTGTGTCAGTTCCTCCTTACAAATGTAACGTAACAGACTATGAGAAGGTTCAAGCTGGAATGGTATCTGCAGACTACCTAACCCAAAGCTAGCATTCAGCAGACGAGGAAATTAAAGCTTCACCTTACAAATGAGACACCTGAGTCTCTGAGAGATTGAGTGATCTTCCCAAGTTCAAATGACTAGTTAGATAATTATTTATTACACATTACTGTCACCAGGAGAAAGTGATATTGAATTCCATCCCTCAAGATGACATTTTTGCCTGGAAACCTCTAAGAACTGCAGAAAAAATTGGAGGTCGTCACCTACTGATGCAAGTTAGAGCAAGGAAATTGCAAATTCATGGGTCCTGATGGGTGAAATGTTTTCTCACATGGAGATGTTTTGAGCCCTAAAAAGTCCAACGGAGGATAATGGAATTATTCCATTTTAAATATCAAATAGGAAAATGTGAGAATTAAGGGTTATGAACAGTTTGCAAGGACTAGTCAAGTTTTGTAAAGAAATGCTCTCCATTTCAGAAGTTGAGGAGCACTGAAAATACTGGGTTATCTCTTTAAGATCACGTCCTGAAACCACTAGACAAAAAAAAAAAAAAAGAGAGAGAGAAAAAAGAAAAAAGAAAGAAAAGGAAAATAAAGAAAAGAGAAAAAATAGAAAAAAGAAAAGAAAAGAGAAAAAATAGAAAAAAGAAAAAAGAAGAAAAAGGAAAATAAAGAAAAAAGAAAAAAGAAGAAAGAAAAAGTAATAAAAGAGAAAAAGAAAACAAAAGAAAAAAGAAAAAAGAAAAAAAAGAACATCAAACAATTTTTCATGGTAGGTGTCATACTGGTTTCTGGTAACAGTGTTAAGGTACGGAGTCAGGGAAGAGTCTGCATGTTTATATACAAAATTCATACTGACCTGCTTAGACTCGAGAGTAAGAGTTAAGACACAGATTTTTTAAAAACTAAAGCTTACTTGGAGGAAGAGGCTCATCGATTGTTGGGTAGTGGTGATGTTCAGGCCTCAAGGAAGGAAGCTGGCTTACTGGCTGGGAATTATGGAGTATAGGACATTCACCTACGGACAAGATAGTCGAGACATTCAGATTCATTCATTGCTTGGCAACGTCATCAAAAAAAGCATGGCTGTAACACAAACTACTACAAGAAAAAACCCTAAAGAGCGGGAAATCTATTTTTTTGTGTGTGTGGCGATCTGCTACATTCAGAGTCATTCATGAGCGAGGGAAGAGAGGGGACTATTAAAAAAAAAAAAAACTCGAAGAAAACAGCCAAACGCTTCGTGACTATGATCTGCATCACAACAGGCCAATAGGTAGAATTGGGGTCTGATTCCGGAACCACCTTAATTTTGATGGGGACGAGGTGGCAGCATCAGAAAGGGACCCGGAAGGAAATTAGCAGAGCCTGAGTTCAGCCTAGGAAAAGACACAGGCCTGTTGGAGAGATGCATAGTATTTATAAGGTGCCATAAAATCTCAGGCGCCTGTGCAAAGATATAGATCCTTGCTTACATAGGTCTGATCAGAACGCTGCCAAGAGGCCGTCTTTCAGATTTTGTGTTTGGAATGAAACTCTTAGATGGTGCCTTTCTGAGGTGGGGTTAAGGAACTGGTGGGATAAGACAGTAAACTCTTGTCCTTTGAAAGCTAAGGGCCGGGGTGGGGAGCCAAGGAACTATGGGATCTCGTGACTGATCCTGATTATCCCGAGGAAGAATCAGACATGCCAGTGTGTTCTGGAAAGAGAAAAGACAAGAGACCAAAGAGGTAGCGAAGAGGCAGGAAGACAGAGACAGGAAGACTTAAAACACACAGATATGGGGGAGCAGGAAGAAGACAGACAGACAAGGAGAAATTTTAGAAATGAACATATCTGCAGAGTGCATGCCCCAGTTATGAGAGACACAGCTAATAATGATTGTCAGGCAGACTTATGACGAACTGAACCAACTTCTAAAGCGGAGTTCCTATTTGGTGGCGTCCTCACGTCCTGGTGACCCTGTGTGTAGAGTGGCCAAGTGCATGGGAAGCCTGCGGCACCTGCTGTGGGTTCGGGCTAGTAACCAGAGCCATTTGTGGATTTCATTTAGCCATTTAATTCCTAGCGCCAATTGGAAAACAGAACAGGGATGTATTCAGGAACAAAGGGTCCTTTTAAATGTTAAATATACAACCTTATTTCTCGTGCAGACTCTGGTGTGTGACTCAGATCCTTGGGGTTCTCTGAGACTAAAGGAAGTCAAGGGGAGTGCCTCTTATGCCAACACATAGCTCCTTGCAAACTGACTCTTGTTTCAAAGCTGGATTCTGGCTTTAGTGGATATTGTACTCATGTTTGTCTTTATATGTGCTTGGTGTCAGAAACAAAAACCAAAACAAAACAATGGTACAGTTGTTATGTCACCAGCTGCTGCGTTTTTAATTTAGTTTCTTTAAAAAACAAACAAACAACAGACTTACCTCGTCATAATTAATTCAACCAATCAGGTTAATTACTCCTCCAAGCTAGCGGAAACATAATACTGTTGCTTGTGGGGGTTAATGGAGCTGATCCCACCTGCCCATGAACCCCAAGCAAATGCAATGATGTGACTGACGCATTTCAGCCAACTAAACGGATGGAGCGCACAGAGGAAGCAAGCGATTCTGTTCGGCACGGGGCTGAGGCTCCACACCGTCCCCCTCACCTCAAATACAAAGAAAGCGTCAGATCCGCTAGCACTCCTGCGAAAAGAACATATTCCACTGGAAAAGGGAGCCTCGCTGCTCATCTACCTGGAAGAACCCTCACTCAGTGAGAGGCTGGGCACTTCAAATGGATCAACTCATTTAATCCTCTCCAAAACCCTTACATTTGCACTCATTTTACACTTGAGACAGGTAACTTGGCTAAGGTGTCCTTGCTAGGAAGCGAGTCCAGGGCTGAGCTCAAAAATCACATTATATTGCACGCTTCACTCGATCTGCTGAAGGTTTTTAAAAACCATTTTATGTTGAGGTTAAAAAAAAGAGTTTTGTATAGTGGGAAATGCATCAAAAAGTAGATAAAGGATACATTCTTCAAAACTGCATGCAGCACGTCCACCTTGGCTGATTTTGTGAAAGAATTTGCAATCTTAAAAGTCACAGGGAGGGGGCAGCAGTGATTTTTATGGGAGAAGAGGGCACACATACATCTGTCTGACCTCTGTGTTTTCTGTGATCATGTGCTCTTGGCAGCGTGGTGGTGAGCGGGGACGGATCTGCCACGCAGACACCGTTAGCCTGGGGACTCACTACTGAGGGAGAGAGGGCTGGCTGGAGGAAGTCACGTGCCCAGGTACACACAGCCTTTGTGAGCTCAGCAGTCCTTCCCAAGAATCCTCATACCCACCAAAGTGGTCCCCACCATAGTGGTTCTCACCATAGTGGTCCCCGCCATAGTGGTCCTCACCATAGTGGTCCCTGCCATGGTGGTCCCTGCCATAGTGAAGCATGTCGGTGCTTCTTAACCTTTTCGGAGGTTACAATCAGCAGAATTCAAGAATCTAGACATTTCCTTAGAAACTGCCCTGCTAAGACTGTCACTCTGGCCCTGAAACACTTTCCCGTCCTTTCTGTTAAGGGGATGGCATCCCCCTGCTGGACTGTTCATCTTCCAAGGGGCATGGCCAAGTCTTTTTTGGTAAAATGTGCTTTGATATTTCAACGTACACTGAGTCAATTTCCAATCACCCACGTGTGGACTGTCTCCCAACACGGCCGTCAAAATGTACCCCATGGACGACAATGGGTTGACAATCTACAAACCCAGCCTTGGTTTTGAATGGCTCTGGGCTAAGAATGGTTATTATACTTCTAAAGGTAAAAGTTAAAAAAAAACCAACACCCCTTTGATGAGAACAGTTGCTTGATTTTGCCTCTTGACCCACAAAGTCTAAAATATTTACTATCTGACCCTTTATAGGAAGTTTGGTCTAAAACACCCTTGGCAGCTCGCGGTTGTGTCTTTGTATGGGTGTATCCCCAAGTCTCCTTATCACATACTGATTTTTAATTCCGTTGTAATTATTGAGTACCTTCTACATTATCCATCTTCCTGCGCCCAGCACAAAGCATCTGGTCCAGGACAAAAAGGAACTCAAGACACCCTTATTAAAGAAAGGAACTGTCCACCCCATTCTCATGCTCATGGGTGCCTTTCCATATTGCCTGTCACTACAGTTTGCCTCCCTGTGTTTTGTTCTTTACCAATTTCCTTGGACTTCTTATCCCGGGAGCCACTTTCCCTCACTCCATCTTTCTCTAACATGTAGGACTGGGCATTGTTAAATAGTTAAAATTATTTCTTTTATGCTCATGTTAGTTTCTGTAAAAATCTGTAGGTGCCAGGAATTTGTTTAGATGCTGAAAACTCAAATCTAAAGAAGTTACAATTCTGGCCCCTGATGAGCTTACAATCTAGAGACAATCCCACCACATCTCGTTTGGAGGCTAATTTAAACAAACTAGAACAGCAACGTAGCAGAATCTACATTTTTCTCTTTTGAAACAACCGAATTATTTCATATTGCGATGCAAATTTTGAGTGACTTCCCTCGATGTCACTGTCACTCGACCGGAAGGTGATTCCCAATTCTAGAGAAGGAAATGCCAGTTAATTTGATACGTGATTTCACAGGCATGACTGAGAAGGAAGGACTTCGCTTCGAAACACAACACATTTTGAAACTAAAGGTGGTACCTGTTGGATTAGAGTCTTACTTGAGACAAAGCGATGTATACATTCGCGTTATTCTTCCTTTCCATTAGCCAAAATAGCACCCCCGTGCCCCCCTAAACAACACAAAATGAAACCAACAACAGTAACAGAATTGAGTAGACAGAAAGCATGACACCAATACATAGGCTGTCCATATCCAGATGCACACAGGTTAGTTAAATTCTAAAACAGGCCATCTCAAGGTTCTTCCACTTATTTTGACATTTCTTGCTAATCTTCAGTACGTTGGGGGCAGCCAGCCGATATTTACACGTTATCCACCCAACGCTAGCGATCACTTCCTGCTTGTACCACTGGCTACCAGCCATGATGCTCTGGTGGCTGTCAGGACTAGAGGGTAACACGGACACTAGGCAGTTCTGGCGGTTACTTAAAGCGCACGCTCACATCCCACTAGTTGTAATTCTCGGTGTGTGTCTGAGCGGTGGTGGGGGTGTCAGCCATTCACAGTCTGGACTTCGACAGACACATAGACACAGATACACACGCACACATGGAGGTACAGGACGGGCATTCGCGGCTGCGGCACACTGATTCCCTCACGCTCGGTTTCGCACCGTGTAGGTGACACCCGGGTCCCCCCGGTGGGCCTACTCTCACTCTGATCAGGTGTGAGGTCTAACCTTCTCTCCGACTGCTCGGCCCTGCCACGGGGGACTCCGGACCTTCCCGGGCTCTGGCTGTGCTCCCGGCGGGGGCGGCCAGCTCGTCGGGCCACGGCGCCACGCCGTTGGCCGGCTCCGGGTCCAGCTCGGGGCTCTGCACCGAGTCGGGCACCGACTCGAAGGCGCTGTTCTCGTCGTCGTCGTCGTCCTGCGAGGAGAAGACGGTGCTCTCGGAGATCTTGGCGCTGTCCACGGACGAGAAGCGGGTGTGGCTGGCGAACCGGCTGCCGCTGTAGCAGGAGGGGCTGTAGCAGGAGGCGCTGTAGCACGAGGAGCTGTAGCACGAGGAGCTGTAGCAGGAGGGGCTGCAGCAGGACGCGTCGCAGCCCTCGCAGCTGTGGTC